ACATTATTCAACCGAAATCATAACAGAAACATCAAAAACAAATATATGAATGTTGAATGTACAAAATACCGAGACACGTCGTATAGTAATGCAAATTCTCACTCTGTATAACAGTCAAATTCGGGAATAGGTCACGTTCGGTTCTTAGCAGACAGACAACAAAGATGTTAAGCCACAATCTTAGACGTGGTAAAAATGTCATTAGTTAGTTTAGTCACAGACACATCGTATAGATCAACCAATTCGTGATGGTGTCCATAAAATTTATGGAGTGTCATTTTTGTCGAGCCTGCGACTTTTGTCGCAGAAAGCTCGACATAGGGATAGTGATCCGGCGGCGGCGGCGGCGTTAGCTAACTTCTTAAAAGCTTTATATTTTAGAAGCTAGAAGACCTGGACGCTTCATACTTTGTATATAGATGCCTTATGTTACGAAGTTTCCGTCTGTCATATATCCATTGTCCTTGACCTCATTTTCATGGTTCAGTGACTACTTGAAAAAAAGTCAACATTTTTAGTAATGTTAATTTCTTTCTTGTTATGAGTAATAGGATAACTATATTTAGTATGTGCGTACCTTGCAAGGTCCTCATGCCCGTCAGACAATTTTCATTTGACCTCGACCTCATTTCATGGATCAGTGAACAAGGTTAAGTTTTCGTGGTCAAGTCCATATATCAGATACTATAAGCAGTAGGTCTACTATATTTGGTATATGGAATGATTGTAAGGTGTACATGTCCAACTGGTAGGTGTCATCTGACCTTGATCTCATTTTCATGGTTCAGTGGTCAAAGTTAAGTTTTTGAGTTTTGGTCTTTTTACTAATACTATAGGCAATAGGTCAGCTATATTTGGTGTATGGAAATATTTTATGATGTACATGTCAGTCTCGCAGGTTTTATTTGACCTTGACGTCATTTTCACGGTTCATTACTCAGTGTAAAGTTTTTGTGTTTTGGTCTGTTTTTCTTCAACTATAAGCAATAGATCAACTATATTTGTTGTATGGAAGGATTGTAAGGTGTATATGTCTGTCTGGCAGGTATCATCTGACCTTGACCTCATTTTCATTGTTCATTGGTCAATGTGAAGTTTTCATGGTTAAGTTTGTTTCTTAGATATTATAAGCAATAGGTCAACTATATTTAATGCATACATTGATTGTAAGGTGTACATGTCTGTCTGGCATGGTTCATCTGACCTTTACCTCATTTTCATGGTTCATTGGTCAATGTTAAGTTTTCTTGGTTAAGACTGTTTCTAAGAAACTATAAGCAATAGGTCAACTATGTTTGGTTTATTGAATGATTGTAAGGTGTACATGTATTTTTCGTTTGGTTTATCTGACCTTGACCTCATTTTCTTGGATCATGTTAAGTTTATGTGTTACTTGTATTAAAGCTTTATATTTAGGACTATCAACATAAAATCAATGGTTAGTAAAGAAGGCGAGACATTTCAGCGTTTGCACTCTTGTTAAACTTTCCTCCTCATAACTCTGTTTGAGCAGTTGCTGTGTAAGGAGCACACTCCTGTATATGAAGTAAGTATAATGTGAACATGCACGAGCATAACGTATCAATTGAGATATGTAAACACCATACGACGGAGCAGAGGGTATGTTACTGCTGAGAAATGGGAAATTGATAATTGGGAAGTTGAAATCATCCCGTTTGTCATAGATTTCAGTGTGAAGTCGTCCATCTGTGTCAATATTGAGGAAAACATCAAGATATGAAGCAGTCCTTCTTGTATCAGTAGTATCCCTAATTTCAAGTTCACTGGGATATATGAGATGCAAGTACTGACTGAAATATGGGTTATTCAGTACATAGGACATCATCAATATATCTGAAAGTAATATTAAAGAATTTTGCAAGGTGCTTTTTCTTTTTGTCTTTTAGAAGGTTCTGAATGAATTCTGCTTCATACGAGTACAAAAAACAAATTGGCCAGAAGGGGGTGCACAATTAGCACCCAGCGGAATACCGACTGTCTGTTGAAATATCAATACTCCAAACTCGACAAATATATTTTCGATTAAAAAGTCCAGCATTTTGATAATATCGTCTTCACTGTATTTTCCGATAGAATCAGTGCGGTTCTTCACAAAATAAGAATTATTATAACCCAAAACAAGAAATTTATATCTATGATTCCCATTTTTATAGAAAAAGCTATGTTTAATGAGATGGGGAAGGCGATCTTTCAATTGAGCATTGGGAATAGTAGTGTAAAGCGTAGAAAAATCAAAGGTCTTAATGTTGCTGCAAAATTGCAGAGATTGTGATCTGAGATTTAGCAGTAGATCTTTGGAATTTTGGGGAATTCACATCTGATTGACACCACTGTTTAAATATATCTCATCACAATATTTTTAAAGGCCATCTTTTACTATGGAAAGAATAGTAGTCAACACTTTAGAAAGATGTTTAGTCGAACATTTTGATGATCCAGCTATATATCGTTCTTTATACGGAGTTTTGTGAAGTTTTGGTATCCAGTATAATGACGGTAGATTTTCTTCGTTATCTTTGAAGTTAATACCAAATGAAAGAAGGACAGATTTGTGATTTTGTAAAATTTCATCCTTTGTAAATGATGTTAAAGAATATGTAGGATTACCAGTTGTGCTGTTTATTCCAAGCTTTTTTGTGAGACATTGCAAATAATGGTATTTACATAAGGAGACAATATTATTGGAGGCTTTATCTGCTGGAACAACGACATATTTTTCATGCAAAGGGGATAACGCATCCACAACCTCCGGAATTTTAAATGGGTTAGAAACCTTTGTGCTCATAGTACATCGTAGTTTCTGAATTTGCTTCTGAATGGATGATCGAATAGCTTTGATCCATTCAGACAAAGTGTCCAGTTCTGGTTCGTCTGGTTCGCGCTTTACCCATTTTCTAGCATAGTCCTCAACTGCATCCATCAGTAACCTGAAGATCATCTTTGCTGGAGTTAGAACCTTAATTTCTAAAAGTTTTCTCAATAGTATTTGTGTTGCACCTCATGCTGGTTTGGGAGCACTCTCTACTGTGCAAAATATCAAATGATACCCCTGGGACTAACAGTCCACCAACATCAACTGTATAATTTTAGTAGTCAGATTACCTGTTTGTTAGAAGGTTTGTTTTACTGCTATCCCATTTTTTTTAGTTTCCTCGCATCCCAAATCACTCCTATGTGATGATATCCATTTTTGTATAGGCCACTTCCAATTCTTGAATAGTAGCATACCATCTATCGAAACTGTGATCGTTACTTATAACAGATTAGATGTGTCAGCGCATGTTGTCAACAATGCGATTTAACCCATGGGGGTATTCTTAATCTCACTGTTTCAGTAAGGCGATGGAGTAGAATCACTGAACTAATCACCGCACTTTATGTGGTCTTTTTCATGAATTGTTTACTTTACTCATTCTTTAGTTTTCTATGTTGTGTTTTGTGTACTATTGTTTGTCTGTTGGTCTTTTTCTTTTTTAGCCATTGTGTTGTCAGTTTATTTTCGACTTATGAGTTTGGATGTCCCTCTGGTATCTTTCTCCTTTCTTTTACAGAACCCTAGGAATTGTGTCATAAATCTCATATGCCATTCATTGTCCTTCTGATATTATTCTAGGTTTAGTCATATTCCTCATTGCTAAACTTACTACTGATATGAAATTGTATGATACCATAGATGCATAACATGGTATGATTACCGCTACGATGTACCTGGTCTAAAATCGTTTAAAATTCATGCGATTCCGAATTCTCAGCTTCCATTTTTGTTTGTGCCAGGACTTTGATGTTAACTAATGTTGATAAACTACATAAGTACAGCTGATATAGATACCTTAATTCCCTTCATTGAAACCCATATTCTGACTTCTGAATATCTTGCATTCATAATCTTGACCTTACAGGTAATTTCATCATTCTTTAATGAAATTACGAAAGAGCTATGGCCAATTGTTACTTCATTTAATTCACAACTAGGCTAAGAAACGGTTGTTAAAGACCGTACTGTGACCTATAATGGTTTACTTTTATAAATTTTGACTTGGATGGAGAGTTGTCTCATTGGCACTCATACCACATCTTCTTATATCTATTAAGGCTTTACCAAAATCAACAGTTTTACAGCCTTTTGTGTTTACTTTAATTTTCTAGGGATAGCGTTTTTCTGAACATGTTACTAATTTATAAATTTCTAAAGATACATCCTATGTGGATGTGTTTTGAGAACGTTTTATTATTATTGTTCCAAACATTAAATAAGAATGACATTTGTAATCAAAACCAAACATCAAACGTGAGTATCTTTCAGATACAAATTACTTCATTTAGGAAAACCAGGTAATTAGATTTCAAATTTTACAAAAGAATGTAAACTTGAAATATTGTCTCTATTATCAATGTTTTCGACTTATGAATTTGAATGTCCCTGTGGTATCTTTTACCAATCTTTTAATACATGCAGCACTGACAAACAGTTTGATAGTGTGGATCAATGTTATATTATAGACAAATCTTTAAAGTATATTGTTTAGTCTCTTTATTATTTACATTCCGGACTGTTTCAACCCCTTTCTAATTTTGACCCTGTGAGTGACCAAATGCAGAGGAAGTTGGCCCTACCTCTTTGAAGGTCTGGGGCAAAGTTTAATCAAATATTTAAATGTTTAGTTCATTATATTTAAATGGAGGGTAAAACATTTCAGGAGCGTCACTATGAAAATAACGTCTTTTCTGAATTTATTGTGATGTGCTGCCTTTTCATTGTCGTATACTTCTTGTGTTGTTTTAAATTAAGAGGAGGTCAAGAAATCTGCTTTAAACGATGGCAAAATTTTTCAAGTCAACCATTAGTTCCTAACATATCTGCATGGACAACAATACAGTAATACAGTGAACTTGAAATTCTTCACACACTAGTGTTGCATAAGTTATTAAATGTACTAATATTCCTTATCACCTGAGGTCATTCATTTACACAATACACAATGTTGACCTTGGTGGTAACTTGTAAGTATCGTTGAATATGTTCGTTTATACTGGCATTGCTTATCTTATGTAAAAGCTCTTGATTTTTAAATAAATATTGACAATATTCAGGAATTCTGTAACGATGGAGGTCCGTTTAGTTTTGTTTAGCGGGTGTATAATTAAACAGCCACATCTTGTCTAAAATCTGGACGTCAAATTCGAGTGTTTGGAAATCCATTTTTCCTACCCACTAAATAAGCCTTACTACATTTAAATGAGTGATACATAGATCATCTGTCGAGGGGCAAAGTTACAGCCTCTGACCAATACTGCAAACGAATACTTTATTTCGCGTTGAACCCTTTTTAGCCTGACCTCTTTACTATTCATTTTCGCGATTTTCTAATCTTCTTGACGTATTTATGTAAGGGAAGATCTAAGTTTAACAAATTCGCGCAGATTTATATTCGCGTTATTTTTGAACTCGCGAAAATCGCGAAAATAAGTTGGTTTACAGTAAGCCTCGATCATTCTCCCACTTGCAATTCAGACTTTAATCCCTAACTATCGTCTGGCGCATTTACCGATCCTTGAATTTTCACATTCGAAATAGAATGCATGGAAGATTTGTCATTCCATTATAAGAAACAAATCAAGCCGTTTCAATTTCCGGCTGTTCTAAGTCTTCATCAGTGCATACGTGTCCTTTCATCTCTCTCAAGGTATAGTTCTTGATTATTTATCATAATATATGTTCAATAGATATTCAGAAAAGGCACACTTTACACCTCCTGTTCTGTTCATAAAAAAATCTATACAATAAGTACTTTCGTAAATGTCCTTGTTTTGCTTAAATCTTAAACTAAATATATGAAATACTATTATTATTCAAAATGAGTTCTGCATCTGTTTTTCACAATTGGATATTTTTTTAATATCATTTTAAAACAAATGGTCGTCTTTGGCAATCGATGTCCCGAGCTGAAATGAAAGCTATCCCTCGATTGAAATTCTGCATAATAAGAATTCTTTCTCAAAAATTTATCCTGTAATTAAAATGAATTTGAATTTTTGGAATACAAGCTAATTTGATAACAATGACATTGAATTTTTCTTTGTTTTATATCATGTGTACAATTTTTAGTTAGTGTATTACAAAATGTTGCTGGTTTATTACCTAATGGTTGCCACCGACTGGAAGACCTTCCGCTAGATACAGCTGATCCTGGCACTATATTTGGAACAAATAATGAAATAAATCAGAAAGCGCCACCTCACAGAACTGGTAACCTTCGATCACAACGCCCTCTACCTACTCAGCACTTTGCTAGCAATGCCATAAAAGCATCGCCTGTTCCAATGATTCTGTATCCATATGAAGGTACAAGCTAGTCTGTCTTTTAACTGTATTATAAGTAGATCATAAGCTTTCGTTTTGTAAATATTCGTGAGACAACACAATATCAAATTAAAAATACATCTAGAAGGTTGCATACGATCTTCAACAATAGATTTCTATACCATATTTCAAGTCATAAATCTCCCCATCCCTATTAAAGGGATATTAGTTACGAAGTTGACAAAATATCAAAATATGATTTTTTTGTTTTTGTTTCAAACATTTATTAATAAAGGCAACATTAGTATACCGCTGTTCAATGGTCATCAATCGATTAAGCGAAAACAAATCCGGGTCACAAACCAAAACCGAGGGAAACACATCAACTATAAGAGGAAAACAACAGAACAACAGAAACACTGAACTGCTACAAAAACAAACGCCAACATACATAGAAACGGACTATTTGATAACAACTGCCATATTCCTAACTTGGTACAGGACATTTTAAGAAACAATGGTGGGTTGAACCTGGTTTAATGGCTAGCCAAACCTCCCGCTTATATGGCAATGTTAAAAATACCGCTGAAATGACAACATTACGTGACAGGAATACAGTATAAATAAACGCAAGAACACTCAGGACAGAGAAATACATACATAAATAATATAATAGTACATTACAACATGTAAACCACAAAATAACAACGGACTCCTCCCATTGATTTACGACAGTACACCAGTACACCACAATAGAATCATGAACTGTGCGTCACACGAATGTATCAACGCCACAAAAAGTGACGTCACAGGTAAATATCTAAAATTAGAATATAAAATTGGGATTAAGTTTGTAATGGTGTTATTTTATGTACTTTCTAACCATTACAAGAATATTAATATAGAATGGTCTTAGTAATGGTGTAATTATTTGTATTTTCTAACCATGTCGGTGTTTCTTCTAAATCAAAACTGTGTAAAAACAAATAAGTCCTGTGCTTATAGCTGCTTTAAACTAAAAATCACAAATGAACTAGCTGATTAATTATCTTAACTTTTACATACATATAGAAAATAAAAATAGAATTCAAACCACAAACGATAAGACATAACACATTATCCAACAAGACTTACAAAAGAAACATCATAACTAAATGCACGAATCTTGGATGTATAAATAACGACACACGTCTTATAGCAATACGAATTCACACTCGGCAAAACAGTCATATTCGGGAATAGGTCATGTTCGGTTCTTAGCAGACCAGACGACGTAGATGGTAAACCACAATCTAAGACGTGGTAAAAATGTCGTAAGTTAGTTTAAACTCAGACACCTCGTATAGATCAACCAATTCGTGATAGTGTCCATAAAATTTACGGAGTCTTTCCTCCTCATAATTCTGTTGGAGCAGTTTCTGCGTAAGGATCACACTCCTGTATATGAAGTCCGTATAGTATGAAAATGCACGAGCATAACGTATCAATTGAGATATGTAAACACCATACGATGGGGTAGAGGGTATGTTTTTGCTGAGAAATGGGAAATTAATAATTGGGAAATTGAAATCGTCCCGTTTGTCATAGATTTTAGTGTGAAGTCGTCCATCTGTGTCAATATTGAGGAAAATATCAAGATATGAAGCAGTCCTTCTAGTATCAGTAGTATCCTTAATTTCAAGTTCTCTGGGATATATGAGATGTAAGTACTGGGTTATTTAGTGATAGGACATCATCAATATATCTGAAAGTAAAGTTAAAGAATTTCGCAAGGTGCTTTTTCTTTTTGTCTCTTAGAAGGTTCCGAATGAATTCTGCTTCATACGAGTACAAAAACAAGTCGGCCAGTAGGGGTGCACAATTAGTACCTATTGGAATACCGACTGTCTGTTGAAATATCAATCCTCCAAACTCAACAAATATATTGTCGATCAAAAAGTCCAGCATTTTGATAATATCATCTTCAGTATATTTTCTGATAGAATCAATGTGGTTCTTCACAAAATAAGAATTATTATAACCCAAAACAAGAAATTTATATCTACGATTCGTATTTTTATAGAAAAAGCTCTGTTTAATGAGATGGTGAAGTCGATCTTTCAATTGAGCATGGGGAATAGTAGTGTAAAGCATAGAAAAATCAAAAGTTTTAATGTTGCTGCAAAATTGATTTAGCAGTAGATCTTTAGAATTTTTAAGAATCCACATCTGATTGACACCACTGGTTGAATATATCTCATCACAACATTTTGAAGGCTATCTTTTACTGTAGAAAGAATAGTGAAAGAATAGTGATGTCAGCACTTTAGAAAGATGTTTAGTTGAACATCTTGATGATCCAGCTATGTATCGTTCTTTATAAGGAGTTTTGTGAAGTTTTGGTATCCAGTATAATGACGGTAGATTTTCTTCGTTTTCTTTGATGTTAATACCAAAAGAAAGGACAGATTTGTGGTTTTGTAAAATTTCATCCTTTGTAAATGATGTTAAAGAATATGTAGGATTACCAGTTTTGCTGTTTATTCCAAGCTCTTTTGTGAGACATTCCAAGTAATGGTTTTTACATATATAAAAGCGGAATTGAGAAAACATATTTTGACATAAGCAGTCAGTTATGGTTCAATTTTGTCAAAGAAGCTAAAACAAAATCGATGATGTATTAAGGGCTAGCCAGTCAATAATTAATCTCATTTGAATCCGTATTCATGCAAACTTCAATTTAGCCCTTAACTGGGAATTCAGTAGAATGTTTAGTTATTTAAAGAAAATTAGCAGCCAACCGGAAGATCCCTTTAATTGACTGATGCCGTCCACAGAAATCATTCGAATTCCGATAAAACGATGCTTTACATATATTCTAATCTATGACATGAACTTCAACAGACATAGAAAAATCGTCATTATACGATTGGACGTGCTTGTCTGTGTATTTATTCTTATATATATGTTTCTGGTCATATGACCTACGGAATTCGTCGGATATCATCTCGATAGTTAATTAGATGGCGTCTATTATAAAATACACACGTAATGTTGATACATTATAACGAGAACTTGTGCAATGTAAATTGTTTCTTTAGCATTTTAGGACTTTTGTAATTTGGATAAACGTTTTACAATGTTTTAGTGTGTTATCAATAAAATATGAGATTTTAAGTCGAATCGGTGAACATGAATTTGACAGCTTATTCCCCTTAAGGGCGACAGTAGTTTTCCGATGTTCAAATCCAGGTCACAAACAAAAACTGAGGAATCGCTTGGACTCAAAAATGAGCGACAGACCGGCTACGTCAACACGTTGTTAATCAATCAAACAGACTACCAGAGATCTGACTTTTAATGTCAATTTGCACTGTGAGTTGCAATTTTAGTTAAAACATATGTTTTATGAATTTCAAAAATTTGGCGTAACAAATAATAAGCCTGGTATTTTCTATTCATGATTTTGACTAGCTTATGTTGAACTTTGAATGGGTACATGATGAAAATAATAGTTTAAACATTTCAAATGAAAATATCTAAGGAAATTTGTTGACTTTGTCCTTTGTTGCAAAATTTTACAAAAACATGTAAATACTAGTACTCAACATTTTTTCAGTAGATATAACATTTTTATTCGATGGAAATATGTTAGACTTGTTGTAAATTCTTTACAATCTGGATTCTAGCTCGTCAAAACTATCTCCCCATTACGTCACTGAATTGTTTTCAATCGTAAAAATGGAAGCCATTGTAGGTATGACGCGCTGTCAATTTAGCTCTTGAAAACCGATAAATTTATCCACATAGCATCATTACGATCCTTATATGGCAGTTGTATTTCAAAATACAAATGTATCTACTAGCTATTAAGCGTTGTTTAATGTACTTTTAGGCCTTTGGTCAACTTGAAACTACTGTCTGCTCGGTTGTCAGGGGGAATTTGTCAAAATGAAGTAACACAAAAAAAAATTAAAGTAAACATTTCGTGGAAGGGCAGACTAAAAATTGAAGGTTGAACACGAAGTACTCTAGAAAATACACAAAAAATATAGAACTGGAGGTATGCATTTTCCATGAAATTATTGCTCATTTTAAGGACGTTTTCCTAAGAAAAAAACTGTCGCAGGGGACAGAGATGCAAATTAACGCTTTAAAGATCATTCTTTTATCTTTCTGTGGAATTTTTATCAGCGGAATTTATGCTTTTGCACAAAAAAAGGTCCACATGTACTTTAACCCACCAAAATCAAAAAAATGTCTCAATTTAAAAGTTAACAAATATCTCGAAGCTTCATACTATAATTTAAGTAAAAATACGTATATAAGATGAATCAAATCCTAAATTATGCACCTACGTTAAATTTTTGAAGCCCATAGAAACAGATGTAAACAATTCAAATATACCAACATTTGCCTTTTTTACCTTCTCTAATAAAGTGTTCAATTTCTTTTGTTTAATTTCAACTGGATATCAGCCTGCTTAGGTTTATATGATTTATACTTTGTAATGTTCGATTTCCAGCAGTTTAAAACGACCTCCAGATTTTGACGCTATAAGCAGAACAAGTGCATAGGAATTCGTCCTACTTCGTTAGCAGGGCGCTAAACCAAAAATACCATAATCTATTAAAGATCAACTTTATTGATTTCATAACTTGATAATTAATAATAGTAAAATTAACAAAAAGTAAATTTCATTAAAATATACATCTTTAAGAGGCGGTTAAGATCATCATCAGGATCGCTCAAAGCCAACAAAATTGAAACTAATGATGTACCGGAACACATTAAAAGCCTAATTGCCAAATGGGACATACAAATAACAGCTAAATCTATCTATTTTTTATGCTTTTCGTCGTTGGAAAGTTTTTAAAGTAATTGTTGATTTTTTTTTTCAAATTTGAGAATAAGTGATATTGTGACAAAAAAATATATATATATATATACGACATGGGGATGTCTCACATTTTCAGCCTTAATGGGGAGTGATGGTATGGTCTATGACGCCTATACTTTAGATAGATGGTCCGACCCTGACAGGTCGGACATGATGTTACAGCAGTCTGCTAGTGTTGCTGGACAATCTTGGAATAAGCTATGGTCACTTGGAACAAATATGAAACAGATGACCTCCGGTCCAGATGGCAACAAGGGTGGGGTATTCACAGGTTAGTAGTATTCTCTGTATTTGAAATGACAAATTTTCTCTCAAATTGTCATAAGCAAATGATAGATCCTCTTTTGAATTCATGGAGGTTATATACAAAATTTGTTTGATAATGAAAAAGTTTGGCAAAGTCGATTCGTGGTTTTCGATTCGTGTTTACCATTTGTAAGAACGGTTCCAAATATCACGTTCACTTAGGATTATTTTGTTCATTTGTATGAATAGAAGGAGCAGGCTTCTGAAAATTTGCTTTTTGTTATGCAAAACAAATCAATGGAACCAACCAAATGTCCTCTGAGTCGCCTTTTTTTTCTTGAGTCAATTAAAATAATGAGAACTTACACTCCAACTTAAAGACTTTAACTTTCCTAATGGGTTGCACAATTATTCAAGGGAAAGTTTGAATTTCACAGAAGCTGAAGGATACCAAACCATGTAATATTTCACTGATGTGAAACGACGCATTTTATTAATTACATGGATATTTGTTCGTGCTAGACATACAATGATAACAACCTATTACACGTCAGATGAATATAGGAACTATTAGGAAAAACTAACTATAAAATGAGATAAACGATGGTTTTCCCAAAAGCCAGTCTTGACATCATGTATTCAAAGAAATGACAAAAAACCAAAATTGATTCAAAGAAATGACAAAAATACAAAATTGATTCAAAGAAACCTTACTTGTGTTATACATGAATTGTTTGTGTTTTGTATGCTGTTGTTTGTCATTTGATAGTTTTTCGTTTTTTTGCCATAGCTTTGTCGGTTCGATTTCGACTGATGAGTTTGACTATTCCTTTCGTAGTTTTCGCCTCTCTTTGGAAATAAACTTAGAAGTTTCAGGTATAGAATAATAAAGTCTACTAAAAGTGACTGGTAAAAGCATGTCTTCGAAAGTTTTTCATTCAAACAGAAGGATAAATTATTTATAGGAAATAAATTTTCTAAAATATCAAAACTCCTCTCAAATTCATATTGTCAAAATCAAAATAAGCATATAAATTAATAAGTCGCTAACTGAGAGATCTATTGATTATCAATTTAGGTAAATCAGGGGTGAGGATTGGAATATCTGGAAGTTCGGAGCCTGTCATGACCGATTTTGGAGATTTATATGCCAACTTTGAATACCATGGAAACGGTGGAACAATGGAGGTATGATTGACATGTGTGTATTGTATGTGTCTTTTAGTGATGAAGAAACTAGTACGATGAAATATATATTATAACACTTTTTCCGTTGCATTTTTTAATAACTTTTCTTCTACCTTCAATGAACCTTGTGTTGATGGGGATTCTTATGAAGTGTCTTTTAAATCAATCATTACTTGTTTCGACTCTGTGGTTTCGAGCGAGGCATATGACATAAACAATTGTTAAAAAAACGACAATATCATTCATTTATGACGATGTAGCGTGTATTTGGCAGTAAGACGTGATACTGCTTGGGTTGTTTTCTAAATTCCTTTTTCGGTTTTGTTAATATAATTTTCTTTTGTTTGTTTAAAGGTCCCATTGGTCAGAGGTTCTGCTCTTTTAACGCACATATTTACAAATGCTGATCCAGTAATTAAACCATATTGTTTAAGCAATATAAATGGTCAACAAACTCACTTTGACTGTCCTAAAGAAGCAACAGGTAAGATTTCAACGGTATAATTTAAAGGATTCAGACATTAGTGGAACAAATAAGTTCAAACTGCATTTTTAGAAAGAATGAGAAAACTACAATTAATGTAGAAAGCAAGAAAAAGGCATTATTTTCCTCTGTAATCCAAATAGTAAAATAGTAGATTTTCCAAATTATTTTTACTTCATTGCTATATAAAAAAGATGGTCTCATCAAGAATTTTCAGTGAGGAAATGTCACATGTGTTGTCACTATGATGTTCTTAACATGTGAAAAATGACATACCATATGAAATATAATTACCATTTAACTCATAGTATTTGACAAAATACGATTGAACCAATCCCTTTTCCAAAAACATATAGTTTACCGTCATTTCACCTTTGTATAAGACGTATTGTAATGACATATGTTTTGTGGTAAGGACTTGGTATGTAACGACCAAAAGACATTCAAAAGTCCACAATTTACAGCATAGAGAACCAAAGACTGAGCAACACATACCCAACCAAAAACCGGTGGTGACTTGATGTGCTCCGGAAGGGTAAGCATATCCTGATCCACATGTGGTACCCGTAGCAGTTTTTTGCTACGAGCGCAAGGAATATTATTAGTTATTTTTAAAACATGTGTTGTGTTGATGGAAATTAAATTAATTGTTTTTGTTCTACTTTTTCGAAGCATATTTTGAAGGATTCAATTTTATTATTTGAATGATGTTTACTTTTGAAGCAATACAGAATTCTTAAAATTTCTATAGTTCACCATTTTTCAATTTAAAATAAGTAAACGAGAAATTTCTGATCTAATTATGGTTTGATAAATACTAAACAGATGAAAAGTGTTGTAAAGGCAAATCTTAAATTTAGAAGATTGATTGATTGATTTTTGTTTGCTTAACATCCAGTGGCAAATATTTCATAGATGTTCGGGATAAATTAAGAAGATGTGGATGGGCATTTTACACTGTTGGATGTCTTGGATAAATTTATACTCTATCTAAACTATTTCACATTGTCCATCTCTTGAATATTCCAGCATTTGATGGAGGAAGTGGACATCTATCAGGTACATGCAGTGGTGGAACTTTGCATATCGTACTAGACAGCGACAAACCTATACATGACATTACACGTTTACAGTATGCAGTTAATTCGTTGTCAAACTGGCGTTCAGGAAAACATGGAATGCGGAACTGCGACAAGAACTCCTGTCATCTCTCTAACGAAGATAAACGAGTCACTATAAATATTCCTAATTCACATGGTATGTAATAAATAAAGTTGTTGAGATTGACAGTACTTTTCATGAGAAGTAATAAAATACTAGTGTCTAGATTGAATTAAGCGCTCAAGGAAATGACTTAGAATCAATCAATACAAAAACATGTTCTAACTTGAATAAATTGCGACCTACAAACACGTATAAATTTAAGTTTACTGATGTTCAATACTCATTCATCCATTTAGAAGATACAAATCAAGGTTAAATTAACCTGAGGGAATCGCTATAACTAAAAAAAAAGCGACACCGGATGCATTGACAGGGTAAGTGTCTCCTGCAATGCATACGTCATCCGCCATGCAAATGCACTCTCAGACATTATGTCACAATCAAGAATACCTAACGGTATAAAACGTAGATAACATTTTTTAATATATGATAAGTGCATTTATATATTTTGAAGGACAAATGGCATTTGCTGTCAACTACATCGGACATTATCTTTTACCTGGGAATTGGGTTCCAAACCCACAACAAGTAACGTGTAGTGGAAAAAGGGATAAAGAGTATGCCGAAAAAGAAGTGCACGAAAAGCGCGCGATTTGTCATCCAGGTGACATTTCTGCATCAGCAGTCTGCGATGTCAATAGAAACATTGATATAACTATTGATCTGGGTTCAAGTGATATTCCGATTGAAAAGGTCAGTCATATTATTTTATATCGTAAAGATCAATATCTTTGGCGTGTTATTCTAATTTTATTGAATATACTTTGTTACACACAAATATGTCAAAAGAAAAACTAAACTAGAGGCTCTCAAGAGCCTGTGTCGCTCACCTGACTCTACTTTGGTTTCAAAAATCATGTAAAGATAGATAAAAATCATAACAGATACCCAAATAATGATTGAGTCCAAATTTGGTTTAATATTGGTCCCGTTATTCAATCAAATATCCTAGTGGCCATCTTGAACAGTAAATCGGCAACAAAGTAGCAACACTTGGTCAGCACCTCATAAGGAACATTCATGCCATGTTTGGTTTCATTCTATTCAGTGGTACTCTAAAAGAAGACATTTGTATATATTTCCCATAGGGTCCTATGTTAAACTAAGTCCCCCCCCTGGCAGCCATCTTGGATGATGGATCGGCTGCAAAGTAACAACATTTGGTCAGCATCTCATAAGAAACATTCATGCCATGTTTTGTTTCATTCCATTCAGTGGTTCTCTAAAAGAAGACATTTGTATGTATTTCCCATAGGGTCCTATGTTAAACTAAGTCCCCCGCTGGCGGCCATCTTGGATGATGGACCGACTGCAAAGTAACAACACTTGGTCAGCACCTCATCAGGAACATTCATGCCATGTTTTGATTCATTCCATTCAGTGGTTCTTTAAAAGAAGACATTTGTATGTATTTCCCATAGGGTCCTATGTTAAACTTAGTCCCCCGCTGGTGGCCATCTTGGATGATGGATCGGCTACAAAGTAACAACACTTGGTCAGCACCTCATAAGAAACATTCATGTCATGTTTGGTTTCATTCCATTCAGTGGTTCTCTAGAAGAAGTTCAAAATGTAAAAAGTTAACGACGACGACGGACGACGGACGCCAAGTGATGAGAAAAGCTCACTTGGCCCTTTGGGCCAGGTGAGCTAAAAAAAAGGAAAGGAACAAAATGGAGATTGTACAATGAACCAATACAAAAAAAGCAACATCGTAAGGATTTAATTTACTCTTGAATCGTTGCACTGATTGGGTTGAAAGGCTTAGATTATCTTATCAAAAAATTTTTATTTTTTTATTTTTTTGAGTATAAGTTATTGATCTCTATGAAATTGTACCAAAAGGAAGGTTGGGATTGATTTTGGGGGTTATGGCCCTAACTGTTTAGGAATTAGGGGCCAAAAAGGGGCCAAAACAATACTTTTCTAATTCTTTGTACAAATTGCTTATTTCTTGACCAATTTCAATGGGGTTTAATTAAAAGGTCTTGAATTCTTGGGGTTCTTTAATATGCCGAATTTAACAGAGTATTTCGATTAGGGATTTTGGACACCGTTTTTAAATTGGTCCACACTGAGGTCCAAAGGGTCCAAAATTAATATTTGTTTGATTTCATCAAATATTGAATTATTTGGGCTTTTAGATATGCCGAATCCAACCGTGTATTTAGATTTTTGATTTTGGGCCAGGTCTTAAAATTGGTCCACATTAAGTGCCAATCTGCCTAAGAATCAGGCAGTGGTGAAAACATGACCAAAAAAACCCACTCAAGTTTACATTAATTTAAGTTCAAAACGTATAATGATGCACGAATATAACATTAGTTTTCTTTAACTGTTCTGATAATTAAGATATAATTTGGTTGTAATGCACTGGAAATTAACAATTAAGGGGAGCTAATTCCGTAAATTTCTATCATTCTTACCAATAGTTATCTAGAGATTTGTCAAATTATCAGACACGCAGAAACGAAATACCTACCATTTCTAACTCAGGATGAGGGTAGCTTCAAACTAGGATGGTTAGGTCGGTGTTTTTTTTCCCCATGTTTTGAAATTCTTCTAAATTGCCTAATTCTTACAAAGACTAACACTAAAGGTCCAAAGTATCCGATAATAAACTTTGTTTGATTTCAACAAAAAATAAATTGTGTTGGGGTTTTTTTTATATGCTGTATCTAAAGATGTATTTAGATTTTTGATTTTGGGCCCAGTTTTCAAGTTGGGCCCAATTGGTGTCCAAAATTAAACTTTGTTTGGTGTCAACAAAAATTAAATCTATGGGGTTCTTTGATATGCTGAATCTAATCGTGGATTTAAATTTTTGATTTTGGGCCCCGTTATCAAATTGTTCCACATTGAGGTCTAAAGGGTTCAAACTTAACTATGTTTGATTTCATTAAAATTGAATTCCTCGGTTTCTTTGATATGCTGGACATAACCATGTATTCAGATTTTGGATATTGGATCATAATAGGTAAATGACCAATTTCAAATTCTTAAGTTCTTAGTCCACATTTATTTTGTGTCAGAAACCTATTGTGTCAAATATCTAATCACAATCCAAATTCAGAGCTGTATCAAACTTGTTAGTGATTGGAATATAAATTGCACAATAAATACAAATTGCAAGAGGATGCATAGTTAAAAATAGATACAACACCAAATTCTGATTTTAGAGAAGAAATTATGTATAAATATATGTTAAAATTTACTGTTCATTGTTAGATATTTTTGAAAATAATTGAAGGCAAGTTTTAGATTTTTTAAAGACATTGTAATAATGATAAATGATATTTTGGAAATTGTTATTTTCATTTTTTTGTAATTTTTTGGAAGAACTTCATGGTAGGTTTGTTTGTTATTCTGTATAAATTAATTTTCAGAATGCTATCTATGTATATTTTTTTTTTTTGATAAAGCGAATCCCTTTAAAATCTTAGCTTATATTGTCCATTGACAAATAAACTAATTATATTCTTGGTGTACTTGGATATGCTGAATCTGACCGTGTATTTAGATATTTGATTCCAATTATTCAGTTCTTTGACCACATTCATTTTGTGTTAGAAACCTATGCTGTGTCAAATATTCAATCCCAATCCAAATTCAGAGCTGTGTCAAGCTAGAATGTTGTATCCATACTTGCCCCAAATGTTACAGGGTTCGATACCTGCGGTCATATCAAGCTGCGCCCCTCTGAGCATTTTATCTAAACTGTTCACTAAAAGACGAAAACAATGATTTAATCCTAAGTTTATCCATCGGTTAACCTGTGTTTATGCCGTCTTATTTTTATCAGTGTTTCAAACTTTGGAATTTCCCGTATTTATTTTAGGCACCTCTTTCGAGAAATACATTTTCGAAAAGGCATATCTTATATCAATTAAGCGTCGGTGTTTTCCAAGTTTCAGAAATTAACATAAATATTCAAATGCATTTTATATTCAGCACTATTTCAGATACAGTTGCTGCATTACAAAAAAATCTGATATTTGGTAATCTTTACACAATTTTTGATACAATTTTTATATATATATAAGTGTATTTGTGTGGGGTTTTTTTTCTTGTTTACAGATCACAAGTGCAAATTTAAATTCGGACATTTTTGACATTTTCGAGTATAATAAGGGACGTAATGATCTAATATTTTGTATTTTTTTGTAATACGTATGCAGCTTAAAATTCTGATACTTGTTGATTCTTTCAGATACAATATGCAATGGAAGGTTCGGATGTTTGGCATCACCCTCCAGCAATGCACAATTGTAAACCGGATCGTTGTTCACGTACTGGTAGATTTATTCATATCAAACTCACAACTTTGTCTAATAATTTCAAGTAAGTATTTTAGTTACATTAACGTTTTCTTAAACGCTGTCGTATAACTTTCGATACCAGAATAGTCGTATGATCTTTAAATTAACCGATTATGCATGTCCTATGGAGAACCCATCAATGGAGTAACCCATCAAATATCCCAGACTTATAATTTTGTACGGCGGATGCGCCTTTCGTCTTCAAAAGACCCATCAGTGATCCTCGAATCAATAAAGTTAGCAGCGAAATAAAGTACGAGGTTGAAGAACATTGGGGACACAAAATTGACAAAGATTTTGCCAAATACGATTAAAATAATTCATTCCTAAATTTGAGAAGTTTTACTGATTATGGATTGGCACAGCAGTTCGTGCATTCAAAGCAACGGACGTTTACACTATCGAAGCACCCCACTTTGTTCGTAGGAGGTTCATGCGATTTTTGTTTGTTAAATTGATTTGTATCTTTTATATCGATTTATAGGATTTGAACATCGGTAAGCTACTGTTGTCTAAATTTATCTGAAGAATCTGAACAAAAAACAAATTCAGTTGAGCTCTTATGTATTGCATCAATCACAAAAAATAACAGAGCTAGACAAACATTTTGATCTTAAAATTCATAAATATTATGCCCTTGTCGCATTTTCCCCATGTACGTCATGTTAGCCTTTGGATAAATTGCTACCATGCATTTAAACATTAATTTTAGTGTTTTGTTGTACATCAAATACGTACCCAAAAACTTATTTCAGATATAAAACAAATATGAGGAAAAGATAATTATGAAATACGAAAAAATGTTCTTTTATTTACACTTAATACACCAAATAAAGTCTGTTGTTTGCTCTTGTACAATTTTCTCGTTAAAAGACGTAGAGAACTGTTTATGACGCCTCATTTCCAATTTGTGTTAAACTGCTTTCATTTAAATTGTTGTAAATACTGTTTTCTCTGGTATCTTTGATGAGTATTTTCTATATTTTTCAATATCTGTCTTTTTTCATTTGTTTTTCTTTGGTAGCTATGCAGTTAATTTCATTGGTTGTACCACAGTTCCAGGTAACTGGATTGATCAACCCCTCACTGGAACATGTGGAGGCTAGTATATAATTTACATTCAGTTTCTCAGAGCTTTGCGCATTCAGATAAACGTAAATGGGCACTCTCTGATTTAATGACATTTGACATGTTCCTGAAACATGCATAACTCTATCGTAATATAAATAGTTCAACATTTACTTTAAAATTTATAATTGCACTAATACAGTTTGCTCGACAGGTAACCATTAGAGGTATAAATGCATAGACTATACGTTAAATTAACAAAAAAACAAAAGTGTAAATCTTACCCCTGGGTTTTTTCATGAATAATCTGATATATTTGTCATGAGAAGTTACTAAGCCTTGATGTCAGAACTGAAGAAAAAATGATGGAATTGTGGCTACAACAAATTAAACATATAAATCGCAACGTATGTTTTCTTTTGTCAATGGCATTGGTCATGTTAATACCTTCTTACTTTGGGTAAATAACATACTAGTAATTAAAGAATGTCAAAGGGTATGAGAAATGGCAATTTGAAGTGTATTTTTAGTCGTTATTTATTAGAATACATCAATTCTATGAATTCATACTTCTATTTACCGAAAAATCATTTCGCTGTATATATATATGGAATCTAAAAAACCATTTCCTCGAAATTCGGAGGAGGTTTCTTGCTCCATTTTTAGGCATAATTTCATGAAAAATGCTTAAGACCCTCAATATTCGTACTTCTCACATTATAGTCATGCTCATTTCCGTAATGTGGCATGTTTAAGTGATGTAAAAAGTAAAATAACAAAAATACCGAACTCCGCGGAAAATTTAAATCGAGAAGTCCCTTATCAAATGGCAAAATCAAAAGCTGAAACACATCAAAAGAATGTAAACATTTCTGATAACCATTCTAACTAGACTATCTTTAAAATTATTGCGTGATGTAGTGCATAAACAATTGGGCTGGTATTAACAAATTCATAAAAGATCATCTACCTATATACGTTGATTCATATTAATTTTATTATTTTTTGTGCACGTGTATTACAAGAATGTCCTTGGTTTATAATATGAGCTATTAAGCATCAACGTAATTACTTATTACAGCCAGTGTAAATACACCCTCACCAACCTCTGCGCCAACACAAATGCCAGTCCAAACACACAATCCAGTAATAACAAACCCTACACAGGCTCCACATAATACTGGAACAGGGACTGTACAAGTAAAACATGGATCGAAGTTCATTATGGAGTTGAATGAACCTGGCGATGAGCTTCCAAACCAAACAAGAAAGTATTTGATTTATTTTTCACAACCAGTTACTCCACATGTCAATCAAGGTCAAAGTACGATAAACTTTACTCCAACAAGTGGCGGAAAATACAATGGCATCGTTCAACTGGCGTACCTTGGTGCTGGCCCGCGTGGAGATACGACACATAACAATGATTTAGATAAATATTTGGGCGTTTACTCATACAAACCCTCAGCGGGCTATTGTGTTTCCGAGGAGGTCAATAAAACCTTTGTCAGCTTTGATTGGAATCCAAACAATCAACATGCAGTTAAATCTATGGGCGAATTAATGATGATAACGATGCCTCATCATGTAAGTATACTACAGAATAGTATCCTCGCTTCGTTGTAGACAGCAAGATGATTATTTCCTAATTTTATTTTATTTAGAAAAAGAAACTCATCAAAAATACCAGACTTGTTATTTGGAACGATATAAGACTAAACCATTTTTTAAACAGGGGCGTGCGAACAATCACATGATACGTTTTTATTGAACAGTTATTTGGTTTATTCTATGAAAAATAAAATAACAATAAAACCGAACTCCAAGGAAAATTCAAAACGGAAAGTCCTTTCAAATGGCAAAATCAAAAGCTTAAACACATCAACCGAATTGAAAAACAACTGTCATATTCCAGACTTGGTACAGGCATTTCCTTATGCAGAAAATGGTTGATTAAACCTGGTTTTATAGCTAGCCAAATCTCCTACTTGACAGTCGTATAAAATTCTATTTTATGGACAACAATGTGTGAACAAAACAAACAGACATAATAGGTAAAAATGTCAAAAATGGGGTACAGCAGTGAACGTTGTGTTATTATCTTAATCGCTATAAAAACAAACAAATATGTCAACAAAGAAAAACAAAATGTTTTTTTTCAATGAAATGACAATAACACTCTTTAAATTTGGTGTGTCCGATTCTCTTTTCTTAAGAAGTATTATCAGGAACGTTTGAACCCACTTATTTTGAATTAAGGGCTGTGTAAGTATTTCCATACGCGAGGAACAACACTTTATCAAGTATTCGAGAAAAGGAACAGGAAACGACATATTGTAATGTTTTAGTGTTATAGCAGCAATTAGTGAATTATTAAAAGAAAATTACATCACTGTTGTCTTCTATTTCATTACAATATGAGTAATTGGCAGGAATAGTCATTTGTCTTTAGTTGAGAATTCCATTTCTGTTATAGCTGATACCTTGATGATAAGGTTGCAGGTTAGTCTTAACTGCCTTGTTAAAATAAAATTCAGATTTAACCATTATCACCCATAGCATGTAGTAGAATTAACGTTTTAGGCACTGATCCTAAAGAAAGATTATGCAAGTCATTTGAAGAGTACAGTATATGGCTTTGAAGGATATGTTGGTAGCAGTTGGCTGATGGAAATGGACATGCCTAGAGCTGCAATGGAACCTGAAAATGCCGCTGTGAACATGATAAAAAGAAATGCACAACAGAATAAGGTGAAATATTATGAAAATTTTGTTACTTAAAGCCGAAAGTGATAATTCAATGATCTATGTAGGAATGAACCATATACATATCATAATTAATGCGAATAGAAAAAAGGCATTTGAATCGAAAATACCTTTCAATATTATCATTCCACGTAGAAATAGCATTTTAAATATTTTATAAATGATTGTTCTTTTACTTCTTTTGAAGGTAAAACTTGTTTAACTTTTTTATCCAACATTCAACATGTTCTTTCTTTACACATTGCATAGTTATGCAAACCTTCCTTATGAATGCAATGACTTATTACAAAATATTTGCTTGCTTGAAATTGATTGAAAAAATTGAAACATTGTTATTTATTATTTAAAAAAGTAAGATATTTAAGGGCGAAATCACAAGTCGAACAAGACTAACATTATGGTCAAAATAAAAGCAGTACAAGAGTAAAATCAATTCAAATAACAAACTAGCAAACTAAAAGTTGAGCAGTTAGAACCCTTTACAAAACGGGATAACTGAGGTGCCCAGAAAGAATAGGTAGTCCCCGTGCTCGCAGTATTCATACTCATGGTGAGTAAAATCTGTTGGTAAATCGCCTTAGGTGACAAGTCGTAGAGGAGGTGCGAACGGCCACGGTGAATGGAACAAACCTGAGGTTATTTTAACATGTATTCTGTACAGTTCAATTAAGTCATGAGGGTCATCATTAGAATTTCAAAGACACGACTTCAACTTTAAAGTTTGAGACATTGGTTCCAATAGCTTCCTTAACAATAGCGTGAAGACTATTGGTAAAAATGAAAAAGAATAAACAATAAAATTATTTGGTATTCATACAACAATAGCATGTTTCATTTTTTCGGAGAATAAACATTACTTGGTGAAATTGAAAGGATAAATGTCTTTATGCAAATCAAGTATTTTGCACTTAAACTGATATATAAACAGCAAAATATGACACGAATCTTCTTTGGTAAAGATTAAACCCTTCGATGACTAAAATGGCACCTTTGGTGTTATATTTCCTCACATTACACGACTTTTTTTACGCAAGGTATGAGTGAGTAACAGTCGAATGAAATGAGATTAAACTATTACAGGACATGCTGGATGCTATTGCGAAGGATGCATCTGAAACCATTTTAGATCAGATATGTGGTAGAGTAGACAGTTATGGGGGCGGTAAAGAAATCGGCATGTTGGCAAGACTTGCTAGTATATCACGTGCTTTTAATACAAACCATTACCAGAAATTGGACTCTAGCATAAAGAATTGTTTGGAGAAATGGCTTCGAATAGATGGTAAAACTACCTGTTTTAATTGGAATAAGAATATGTATTTATTCTTTATTATTTTGTTTAAAACGGAATGAAGATATTAATTGGTTAGATAGAAAATTGATGTAACAACATCTACAAAGAATCTACGTTTTTTCAATTAGGACTTCATACATGATGTATTCTTGTAGTTTTGTATTCGAGAAAACATGATCATTTATGACACAAATGTTCCTTAATGGTCAACTACATCATTCTGGTGTCCGTAAAAGTTTCAAAGGGATGACTTTAACGTTATCAACATGAATCCGTTGTGCATAGCTTTCTTGTAGGCACCAACTCTCTGTTAATAAAATACTGATAGGGTAGCAAGCTGTGGAATATGGCATCTCTTTTATCAAAAAATCAATTATTAACTTTAATTGTCAATTTCTAGATGTTATTCAATGTATAAACAAGACTTACTGAATCTGGTATCCTTTACTTCAAGTTTGATGGGAAAGATACATTTCATATAGACAAAAATGTTGTGACCTATTTTGTGCGAGGACATCATCGATATACCATGTATACCTGAACGTGACTTTGTAGGTTAATGATATTTTTCTTCTTTTTTTCCTGCCAAGGTCCTGTATGTAATCAATTTTCATATAAATTAAGAAGGTGGTTACGATTAGCAATCATGGGCAAGCATATTGTCCTCCTAATGTAACAAATATGATGTAAATAACAAACATGAATCATGACGATGTCAGTTTTAAAGAATTATTTGTTTAAAAAACAGATTGGTTTATAAAAAAAGAACGAGTAACTCCTTCCTTACACAAGATATTTGCATCGTGTTAGCAATCTTTGCTTGTGATACACAGTTCAAACACATGTTATTCATTCGATCTTTTCTTAATTTAAGAATGAGAAATACACCATGGAAAAGGATGAAAAGTTTATATATTTGCGCGAGGAAAGGGAAATAAGTTCTATGTATTCTATCAGATATTTGGAAGGGTTTAGAAGCCACTAAATGATAAACGCATTTAAAGCGATATTAATGAATATAAAAAAACTCACAAACAGTAACAACAACTGAATGAAAATAGCTGTACATCAAAATTATTTTCACTTGAGAATCTATGCATGATTAATTCATTGATTTTTTCATCCATTCGGGAAGAATAGTTTGTTTACCAAGCTTAAACAAAATGTATCACTCTTTAAGATACTTTGTATGAAATGTGGAAGTTTAGATACGATAGTGTTTGGGGAGGAATGTTTCTGAGATCTACAAATAGTCGTACGTTGGACTTTGCTTCTGACTTTGGATTCACTTTCTACAATGACCACCATTTCCACATCGGATACTTTCTATATGCATTAGCCTACTATGTTAGACATGATCAGGCATGGGGAAAACGTAAGTTTGTTTTAAATAATCTGAAAAATAATGTACATAACTTAAGTAATTTGATATGAATATGTCAGTTTTTATGGAATCCCCTTTTTGAATTTCCTTAGAGTTCGATATTTTTGTCATACTTATTTTTTACCATACAACACGTACATTATTTCTTTTGCTAATCTGATACCAAAAGGGAATGGCATGTGTTGATAATGTTTTATTATTAACTAGATAATACATAAATTCATTGAAATTGATTCGAAAAGTGAATTTGCAGATTTTTTTTATTATTAACAATAAAAGTCTGTGTTTAAGACATTCACACTTTATTTTTTTTTATTAACCATTTGTTGTCTGATTGATTGGCAGATTCTTATAGTAAATACGGTATGCGAATTCGAGACACTTTGTTAAAGAAAATTCCATCACCAAAAACTCTTCGCACTTTCACCTCCTCTCCTGTCTTCTATTTTTAAAGAGCATAAGCACAGAATCTACGCCTTGGCACGGGATGTTGGTAATCTAAGTTATAAAGACAAACATTTTCCTGTTGCCAGACATAAAGACGTATATACTGGATTCTCGTGGGCATCTGGTATTGCTCCTGGTATAAGACAGGAAGAATCTTCATCTGAGGTAAGTATAATTAAATAATCAAAGAAATGTATTTGATATGTGAGATTTCTCTAGTAGAGGCTCAAGCAACATATTCTGAACGCCATATGGAAATGTACTTAAGATACGACCAGGTATCAGCAGAGTAACGTTCATTCAACGGATTATATTTACATATTTTATTCATTTGATGCAGGTTTATAAATTTAACTCTCGTGATTATATGCTTCTATTATTCAACTCCTTTTGTGATTATATGCTTCTATTATTCAACTCTCGTGATTATATACTTCTATTATTTATGCTTATATTATTAAATTCTCGTGATTAAATGCTTATATTATTCAAATTGTTTTTCAAGCCAAACGCACAAAACATTTGTAGGCATTAAAATCGATTAATCCAACATGTCCAAGGCTAACTTTGACTGAGAGTTTTTATTATTGACGCACTGTTAACTGTTTAGATCCTGCACTAGTAGTATTGATGTAGGGTATTAATTGTGGCATCATGCACGAGGAGTGTTTCTTGACAAATCTTCATCGCATAAACCTATGATCAAACATTGGCAAAGTCAAATCCATAAAAGGTTTGTGAGCATAAGACTGAATAATCCCTATTTAAAAAGCAAAATCCTTACATCAGAAAATTGCCATAATAACTTCGAAGCAATGGACCGTTGATAATCATAGATATTTGTCCTGAAGTTAGACTAGGACACAAGGAGTAAAATTTCAAAATGTCTGACATTGAAACCGAGATATGATACAAAGAGTATCGTGGTTTGATTGTCACTGTGTGTGAAATAAATGCATGTGTTTCATTAAAAACAACACGAAACTATCCATTTTTATTTGTAGGGTTTAAATTGCTATCATGCTCTGGCTGCCTTGGGCGATGCCTACAACGACTCTCGTCTTAAACACACTGGACAGGTGCTATTGGCTATGGAGATTGCTTCAGTCAGAGAGTATTGGCATGTCAGGGACCATAACTACAACCATTTCCCACCACTAATACAAAAATTTGGAGCTGTCGGTATGATCGGAGAACAAAGTTTCTATTTGTACACACTCAACTGGCCATGTGATCCTAACGTGTTCCCACAGCGACATGCTTGTCTGATTGGAATACAGGTCATGCCTATAACAAGTGTATCCAAATATTGGTTGGATAAGGTAAGTTCAAATTAAGAAACAGCTTGTAAGAGAGGCGAAATGCATAAACGTCTTTACCTGTCCAAGATGTACGTATGTCAAAGAGGGACGAAAGATACCAGAGGGACAGTCAAACTCATAGATCGAAAACAAACTGACAACGCCATGGCCAAAAATAAAAAGACAGACAAATAATAGTACAGATGACACAACATAGAAAACTAAAGACTAAGCAACACGAACCATGCAACATGTCATTCTCCTTCAACTTATCATCGTACTGATTTAGACCATAAATGTAAGACCCCATACCCATAAAATATAAATCATTATTGTTTTAAATTCTATTGTTCATTTGCATGAATAAACTGAAAAGTCAATAATTCTGTCAATGACTTTAAGTTCATTATTTTGTTATGTGCATCCATGATAACATGGAACCAAGCTTTAGTCAGTACTTGTTCATAAAAAATTTCGTCTAATCAGGATCATTTAAATAACTCATGACGGTAACACAAATTTTGAGCAAACCATTTTTTATCATTTTTTTTCTTCAGAAAGTCATGATTTTTTTATTTCCTGCAATAAAAGTCTTATGATTAATCTTCTAGGATGAGTCTCGTAAGGCTTGAAGGGTTTGCTAATTTTGATCACAACGCAAGAAATGTAAAATACACTTTATTTATTGTGTGTGTCCGAAGTGCTTTTTTGGATATAGTACCTTAATCAGAAACGCTTAAACCTACACACTTGAAGCCAGGGATGTATTAAAACGTAGAAACTCTAGGAGCTACATGACCAAAATGCCCTTAATAGCCAAATTCAACTAAGATCAACTTTGCCTGTGGGAGTTTCTAAATTTCTTATTTATCTATTTAAAGTGACACATAAACATATTTATGCATTTCATTATCTGGCAGTCAGAAAAGTAATAATAAGGTTTACTTACTAACTTACGTAGTCCAGACAGAAGATATGCATGTCAGCAATTATGAATTGCTTATTAACTGATAAAAAACATTTTTCTTAATGTAAGGATATAGGAAAACATAAAACTTTTATCTTAATTTTGTTGTCAAAAAGAGATGTGTTAAAGTTTGGAACATTACCGTGTACACCTTCTTAATGTGTAAAAAGAACATATTTATTTCAGGATTGGGCTAAGCATGTGCTTAATTCTTGTACTGAAGCAGTCAATCCTACCTCAGCAAAAGATTACCATTTAACAGGAGGAAGTAGGCAACTTAATTCAGTAAGTATCCCTCATTCAACATATAATCCTGTCTTATATACACACTATCCGTTAAACTTAGTAAACGTACATCGCTGACTATACAAGCCTCCTAAGTTTTTTTGTTTTACCGTGCTCACTTTAAGTCAGGGAGTTTGTGGACTCAATCTGTTATTTACTGCTATACAATATATTTTGAGAGTTTAACACCTGAGATCAACCTTGGTTTTTGGTGGGGTTCATGTTGCTCAGTCTTGAGTTTTTTATGCTGTTTTGTATACTGTTGTTCGTCTTCTTGTTTTTTTTTCTTTTTTCGCCATGGTGTTGTCAGTTTACTTTCGACTTATGAGTTTGAATTTCCCTTTGGTATCTTTGGCCTATCTTCTATAAAATTGACTTAAGTTGGTGGTATATAATAGAGTACACTTTTGCTTATTTGCCACCAAATAATTTTATACAACATGTGATTACACATACAACACAAGTATTTCCACTATAAATGAATATGAGAAGACACCTAACTAAATACAAATAAAATGGAATAAATATCAAAATACAGGTCTTCAATAGATAGTTCTCTCAATGGCAATCATACCACATCACCATATTTTTAAACAGAGGACAATACACAAACAAATATGAATAAAAAGAGATGTGTAGGTAATGGTGTACACCACAAATAGACAGCAAAAGAGCAACTTACAATAAAACAACACAAAGAATGATCAATTTATAAAAGCAAGCTAAATGTAATTAATTAGCTTGCTGCATAGATACAATGCTTTCTAACACTTTAATAGTTGCTGATGTTCTTCAAAGCATATTTCATATAGCTTCATGGATAGTTAAAAAAACTTCAACCATTTACAATGCCAGGGTAAATTTGAAAACCGAATTTAAATACAGTAGGGGAAATAACACTGTAATTGTGTATCTGCTAAGGCATAATAAAATTTTAATAAATGGAAGATTTGAAGTCCCCCTTCAAAAGCTTTACAGACATCATCATGACTTGTTTGACTCTTATCGAAAATCTGTGTCACAGATGACCACCAACATGTTATAATTGTCCTAACCACAATCTCATCCTCTTTCCTTCTATTTTCGGAATGCGAATTGTTATCCTATTTTTACTTGTGATATTTATTAAAATAACAGGTGATACTAGCTATATAGCCCCGGGTTTTCATGGGCATGTGTTGCTCAATTGTAGTGTTCTGTGTTTCTGTTCCTCGATTTTCTGTTTGGCAATATTATTGGACTTGACATTTCATATTGCCATTGGCGTTTTGTCTCTCTTTTGACTGTCCATGGAACATCTACAGAAATTGTCAGTGTCATTGACATTTCATATACTTGATTGAAGTTTGATTTCCATGAGATTTAAACAGAGGTGCTTTTCCTTAACTAAATTCAGCAGAAAAAAAAATATATCTTAAGAAATAACTGTAAAAACATATGTTTGTTATAAACAATGAAATTAGATGAAAGAACTAATAATGATAGAAAACATCAAGAACCATCCAAGGTAAATGACAGAATACTGGACATCAGTTAGATCTATTGCTAATGTCACTGTGTTGTGGACCAAATTATTAAAATACCATAAATATATACCATCATTAATAAAATGTTTGAATTTGTGTTTTTACAGGGATGGAAAGCATTCTGTTATGTTGCTATGGCACCTTATGATGCTGCCCATGCTACAGAAGCTGCTAATTATGTCAAACAGCAATCACCACGACACCTAGTGGGTGGCACTAGTTCCTCTAGTACACTTTTATTTATTTATGGACGTACATAAAAATTTGGCATAAAAGAAGACAAACAGTCACATTTTGTATACTTGTATTATGAATCTTTGTTTTCATTGTACATATAAAATTAAGCTTGACATTCTCCTTTATTGTTCTTATCACAGTATTCAACAATGTAATAAAGGATGATATAGGTTCAGCTCGAAGGAACAATGGAAAAACTTCCAACATAGATGTTATATGGTATTGAATGTTTTTTAATCACATTGTTAATTCCAATGTGGATCATTCGAGTACTACAGAGTTTGAATTGTGTTCAATATCAAATCAAATCACCCTGAAAGAAGTCTTTTGGAGTTTTTCTAAAATAACTATATTGCATGCTGATGTCTCTATGGCATCCTTTTGAAAGAAATATCAGCAACATAATTGTAAGATACTAGATGTATCTCTGTTGTCAAAGCATCAACAATCTTCCAAACATCAGTCATGAGTTGAATGTCTCAATAAGTGAATGGTATGTTTGTCTGAAATGATAACATAAAGAACTGTGTTACAAAAATACATGACAGAAACATTCAGATCAGCAATAGCAGGTGCACAACTTTATGTAGTGAAGAAGAAGCTATGCAAGGTTAGTGGAATACTGTCAGGATGTTTTCAAAGAGTTTGAGATTAGCAAAATGTGACACAGATGATGATGACACAGTCAAGAAGTATAATCGCATAAGTGATGCCTAGGAGTCACAATAAATCAGTTTTAATCTGCCACAATTTACAATTTTCCTTTTTTAGGAAACCAAATTGTTGAAAGCATAGTATTCACCTCAGTTTATTATCCTGTTCTGTGCCTATGAAGAACTTAATATCTAGATTATTTATGAGTTTGAATAACCTGTTCGTATCTTTCGCCTATATTTAAGTATAAAATTTACCACATTTTGATACCCCAGTAGAATTTATCATACATGAAAGTAGCATGATTTTTCCTTAGTTTAGTATTATGTCCTGTGCCTCAATCATTACATTTATTTCATCTAAGTTGAGTACCTTGTCTTGAAGAAATTATCAAGGTAAGCCAACTGAACTTTAATTAGGTTTAGCATCCTGTATTGTGACCTTTACCATTATTATTCAGTTTACTGTCTCCTGCAGGAATTATAATCCAGATAAACAGACATAATTTTACCTTTGTTTAGTATCCTGTGTTTTCCAGCTGGGGTGATACACTGTTAAATGTTTACCCTAGTTTAGTACCCTGCTCTGCACACCTGATGCAATACTTTACCTTAGTTTAGTATCCTGTCCTGTGCCCCTGAAGGATTCATACTCCACAATGACATGTTCTATCCTTGGTAAAATCTTCTGTATATAACAGTTGCCTGATTTTGGTAACTTTTCTAATGTCTTGATGGCCTGGTTTAATTTCACTTTCTTAAATTTTGATAAAAAGTTCATAATCTGTTCTCCAACTACCTCCCTATAACAGAATGAATGTAAGATAAATTTACGAAATTAACCAGCTGAGTCAATACTATAATGGGAAATCATTACACAAATATGAACTAGTACTGTGAGTGAAGAAAAGGATGACCCCTGTCCTGTGGCTATCACCCCTTTAACATGTAGGACAGGGATTATTAGAAATTAAATCTGACAATGAAATCTAACAAACACTGTAATGAATTGTAAAAAAATCTTAAGTGAAAAATACAGAAACAATAACGTACTATAACTGATTCTCGGTGCATGCAAAAATGTTTTTGACTACAGTGGAATCAATTTTGAGTTTTTTCTTAAATATGAAATACATTGTCACACCAAAAAGGACTTTATAGTTCATATAAAAATAAGGAGATGTGGTATGATTGCCAATGAGACAACTATCCACCAAAGTTCAAATGAAGTGGATGTTGGCAATTATAGGCAACTGTATGGCCTTCAATTATGAGAAAATCCAATACCGTATAGTCAGCTATAAAAGGCCCCGACATGAAAAATATGAAACAATTCAATTCAGAAAACTAACCGCCTAATTTATAACGAAACAATTTACAAAAACAATCATGAGACATGAACCGACAAAAACCACTGAACTACAGGCTCCTGACTTGGGACAGGCAAATAAAGAATGTGACTATTACTAAGAAAATGAGGAGCATCAAAGAGACCTACCACTGACACAACTGAAGGGATGAAAGGATAAACAAAACATGTTAAAATGTATTATTGTCAATATTGAAGGATCCATTGAGACATGTGTGAGGTACCATGATTTTTTTAGGCATTTTCACATTTAACTTTATCAGTTTGAAACCGACAGGTATTCCCTTGGATATAGACATCTTCCCCAATGACTTTTGTTAACTTGTATTGTAATAAGCCTGTTAGGTTTCTCAATTGAATTGTTTCATATTTTTCATGTCGAAGTCTTTTATAGCTGACTATACAGTATGGGTTTTCTCATTGTTGAAGGCCATACAGTTGCCTATAATTGCTTACATCCACTTTATTTTGAACTATTGGTGGACAGTTGTCTCATTTGCAATCATACCACATCTCCTTATTTTTATATGGAAATTAGCCATACACAGCATTAACTAAGCACACCGTCAATCACATATTTTTTTCTTCTTATTTCTTAATAAGCTTCCTTATTTAAATGTTTGTGCAGTATTTCCCACACTTGAGCAATAGAGGCATAATAAACAACAAGTATTCAAATATGATCTAACACACCTTTTGTAAAACTTACTTTGTACCAACATGAGGATGAGAGCTTCCTGCATCCACCATCTGTTGTAGTATTGTTTGACAAAGATGCTGTGTAGATATCGAGTCACACTGTAGATGTATACTAAGAACTGGACAAACAAGGATACATAAATCGCTGAAAATACCCAGAAATAACAGCTTGTGTAAAGTTATGGATGTACACCTCTGAGGAGCCAAAAATTTCTAGAATTAAACTTTTTTTCTTAACCTGATTTTGGGTTTATATGACTGTAAAAAAATAATTGGTGAAGAAAAAATCATATGGTGGTGCACTTCTTTTATTTGCTACAGCCATTTGAAAGTACCCAATTTTGATGATTTTCCCATTTTTCATCAATTTTTACCCATTTTTGGGCTATTATCATGAAAAAAATCACAGTTTCACAATTAAACTTTTTTTCATACTTTCACTAAAGATGGAGTGGACCAATCTGAATAAATTTAACTTAAAAAAAACTATGGGTAGGTGTTAATATAAGAAAGTTTTATAAAATTTTGTTGCGTTTTTCGTGTCAAATTTACCATGTTGTCAATTGTGTAAATTTGGGATTTTTCTCTTTTTTTTTTAGAACAAAAAGCATATTATTTCAACTTCTTTGTAATAAATGATTGAAAAAATACATATCTAAGACATTAGAAAAGAAATAAACAGCTGCGCCATGAGCGCATGATACGCCCGTCGTCTTGTGTGTGAATTTTTTTGCAATAAGCATAAATAGTTTCTGACATACGGCGTGACATGCGAAAACCCCCTTTTTTTTTTACAAAAAACTCAATATCTCTAAAATAAAATTTTGAATCAAAACCAAAAAGTATACAGATCTTTAGATTAATATAACTAAGTAGTGTGTAAAATTTTAAGCAATTATCATAAATCGTTTTTGAGATACAGCGCGACATGTGAAAACCCCCCCTTTAAAAAAAAAAAAAAATCAATATCTCAAAAATAAAATTTTGAATCAATTTTGAATCAGAACCAAAAAGTATACAGATCTTTAGAATAATATAACTAAGAAGTGTGTAAAAATTTTAAGCAATAATCATAAATCGTTTTTGAGATACGGCGTGACATGTGAAAAACCCCTCCCCCTTTTTTTACAAAATACTCAATAACTCAAAACTGAAATTTTGAATCATCACCAAAAAGTATACAGATCTTAAGGTTAATATAACTAAGATTTGATTTGATTTGATTTTTGGTGTTTTAACGCCACTTTTAAGCACCGCTTTTGGGCTATTTCGTGGCGGCCAGTTTTTATTGGTGAATATAACAAGTTTTAAGCAATAATCCTAAATTGTTTTTGAGATACGGCGCAACATGCGAAAAACCCCTCCCCCTTTTTTAACAAAATACTCAATATCTCTAAAATTAAATTTTGAATCATCACCAAAAAGTATACAGATCTTAAGATTAATATAACTAAGAAGTGTGTAAAGTTTTAAGCAATAATCATAAATTGTTTTTTAGATACGGCGCGACATGTGAAAAAAAACACACACCTGTTTTAGTTACTAAGTCCCGTAACTCAAAAAGTTTTAATCTTATTTTCACCAAAAAGTATACAGATCGTTTGACCATCATAAGAAACAACTATGTTAAGTTTCATGAAATTTGGATAAGTCATTCTCAAGTTACGGTGCGACATGTTTACGCCGGACAGACAGACGGACGGACAGACAGACAGACGGACGGACGCCGGACATTTGTATACCATAATACGTCCCGTCAAAAATTTGACGGGCGTATAAAAATTGATATGAGATGTACATGTACCTGGTAAAATCATTTCTTGTACCCCTCACCCATTTTCTCAACATTTTGGCTAATGAGACTGACTTGATTGGTTATAAAATTTGAAAATTTTATTACTCAAAAACTTTTTATTGTAAAAACACAATTTTTTCACAGAGTTAAGTTTGATTATAATATTTTAAAAATTTATTGATATTTTTCACTTGTAGCACATGTTTTGGAAGTAATTCCAGAACGAGATTTCACGAGACTGAAACGTCAGAAGAATACATCCTTAATATGTCAGCAACCATTTTTTTTGTATCTATATGTCATTTTGGCTTTGTCTACTCAATGGGGAAGTACATAATAGTAAAGGAACTCAAGTCTGAAATATCTATTACAATCTGAACTTATTTTGAGTTGTTTCAACATAAAAATTCTTTGTCTTGTTGAGGATTAAAGATATTTTGAGGATTTTTCTATTGTAGAAAATTTAGTAGGTGACAGATCAATCCAGAATTGTTCAGTCACTTCAAGTATAAGAACTTACAATAGTTATGAATTAAAGATATTTCAATAAGAGAAAAATGCAAACAAAACACAAAAAACAAACAATGTTCAACAATAGACAAGTTCCTATACAAGATGTCAAGCTCTTCAATGCCCTGAATCTAGAAAAAAAGTGAACTATTAAGTATCTGCCATCAGCACTAAATTACCAAAAGAATTGAAAACCTTAATAAGTAAAAATATCCAAGTGAGGATCTGACTTGGTACAGACCAATGAACATATGGCAAGATCAAACTAGTTTTTCTCCTCATAGTTTAGGTAAATATCTACTGAACCATCTAAAATTGTTTGTCTAGGCAGTACTGGAATAATGGCTGTAGAAATCTGAAAACTAACTAAGACTGAACATGATCTTTTCAGACGGAATTTCCATTTTTGAAAAAACTTCTGGTCACAACATAGCCCATACGTTCTGATGCAGTGTTAAAGTGCCATCAATAAATCAATTTATGTGAATGGAATTGAGCCAAGATGTATTGACTAGTAGCAGGATTATGTGTATAGCAAAGTACTTAAATGATTCCCCACTATTTACAAACATCATTGAAGGTAGTAACTAATTTATAAATTAAATGTCAATTAAGAACCTTAATTTACTTTTAAGTTGTCAACCTTTATGTGCCAATTTGCCTAAGAATCAGGCAGTGGTGAAAACATGACAAACAAAAACCCACTCAAGTTGACATTAATTTAAGCTCAGAATGTATAATGGTGCACAAATATAACATTCGTTTCCTTTCCCTGTTCTGGTAATTCAATATAATTTGGTTGAAATGCACTAGAAATTAAAAATTAAAGGGAGATAACTCCATAATTTGCTATCATTCTAACCAAAATTTATCTAGATATTTCTCAAATTACCAGATTTGCAGAAACGAAAGACCTACTATTTCTAAAGAAGGATGATGGTACCTTCAAAATAGGGTGGTTAGGGATCATAGATTTATTTTTACGAGGAAGCTCCGAGCATGCCCGGAGGATGCTCGGAGCTTTTTAAGTAGGCTCTTCTCAGCAGTTTATGTGACAATAATTATCATTATCCATTAAGATGTCAATCAAATCTATAGCACTTTTATAATAAGGAAAGTAGAGCATTATAGAGGAAGCTCCATTAACACCTGTGTAAACATCTGGTCTATTTAAACAAATCTTGCATTAATTTTACAAAACTATAAAATAGATGAGAAATTCTTCAATATTACTGTACAATGTTTAGTATCATGTCTTCACACAAAGAAAATGATTTTAAAACATTTTCTTAATAATTATCATTCATTTACAATACACATGATACAAAAAAACACTAAAATTTTATATTTGAAATATAAATATATTTTAAATTTATACTATATAAAATGAAATATAAAAGTCATCAAAGACACAAACTATGGTTATTGATTTATAACCATACTACCAAAAACATGGTACATTCAGTTTCATGCGTAAAAGGGTTGATCTTTTTTTATATTCCATTTAATTTGACATTTGTTTGAAATTAACCCTCCATTTCATTGCAGAAAAGTTTTTTTGAGTCGTAAACATGTTTCTTGGGTGTTTCAAAGCAATAAAAATATACTATATTCTACAGGGAAAAAAGGGGGAGAGAATTTGATTGGTTAACTTCTGGTGATGTTTACTTTCTTATATGCACTGAAAAGTTATGCTATATTTTCACTGTAGTACAGGACATTTATTTATGTCAAGTATTTCTTTATTTAAAACATAGATAAATTCTGCACATTTTTTTTGAAATATTACAATCATGACAATTAAACCAAGACTTATAGGGGGAAAATAATTTTACTCATGCCAAGTATTTCTTTATTTAAAACAAAGCTAAATCTGCACAATTAAAAAAAAAATGCCAAGCAAAGAGAGACGTACTAGAGGGAAAACAATGTTGGTATTACCCCCTCAAACCAGGCTTCCACTAATGAATTACAACTTTTCTTAAAGTAGCCATAATTTTCTATAAAAGAACTTAGTTTGCTATTTTATAAAACAAAACATATTACCATTGTTTAGTTAGGGGCATTACTTAAACAAGTAATTTTCAAAATTACCTATACAAGTTATGTTGAAAATGAGGCTGTTTCAAATATTACTTCTATTTCACCAATAAGTAACTTCTGTTAATATTATTTATATAGGTGTCCATTCATACAGGTTTTACTAGCTTTAACAAATTTTCACAAACATCTGGTTATTTTCCCCATGAAATATACTGGTAAAACTATTTAAATCCTCAACAAGCACTAATTGCTTTTCTGATGCCACACTTCTTGGTCGAAGATTGGTCTCTTGGGGCTATTAAAATATCATTTCCCCTTAAAATCTTAGAGATAGACAGTTATAACTAGATATGGAACCTTTAATTAAGACTTGAAGTTATTTATAATTTGAATCTTAATCAAAAGCAATTACATATATTCCTTAAATAATTGTAAGTACTAAGTTTTTTAAAGTTGTATAAAATAATTTATTAAAGTAATATTTTTGTCATTATTTTTTAAAGTAACCTCTCTATACTCATCTAAAATTGGATAAATACTTAATTTTATTTAATGAAATGATATAAAAATTCTTAAAAACTACATTTAGTCCATGCTTTATTTGACATTTAAAATAACTATTGAGTTATTAAATAATTTTTAAAAACAAAAAATACTTATAAAAGTGACTAAAAAAATTACTTGTTTAGTAACGCCTCTGACTGTTGTTTGTGTCTTGATAACTTTTATGTAGCATATTATATAATATAAAGTATTTTTAAATCATATCATTCAATTATTAAATTTGAGAATTTTTTTATTATAAAAAAAGGAATGATTATTAAATATAATAAGAAAATATTTAAATGATTTTTACTTTTTGTGGAGACTTGAGATTTCTTTCCAAGCATTACACAGCACTGTTGAAGAATTTCTAATCTATTTTATAGTTTTGTAAAATTTCATGCAAAATGTATTTGAATCGACCAGATGTTTACACAGGTGTTAGAGAATATGACAATGTAAACGGACAAAGGCGACCAGAAAGAGAGGAGTGGACACCAGTACAAGGACGACATTTCCGTGGTCGAGGTGGTAGAGGTGGACGCGGATATTAGGAATTAACACTTGGTGTTTGGAACATTAGAGGGTGGTCAGCACATCAAAATGATAATTCAAACTTTAGATGTCATGTTGTAAACGCTTTAAATTTTGATATTCTATGTTTATGTGAAACTTTTTTGAGAGAAAGTGATAAAATAAATGTAGAAGGTTATACTTGTTTTCAGAGAAACAGGGACAAAGTTCATGTTAATTCCAAGAGAGGTTCTGGTGGGGTTGCGGCTTTAGTTAAAAATGATCTATTGAAATATTATAATGTTGAAATTTTAAACAGTGAAGTACAAGATATTCTATGGATAAAATTGAGTAATGAAAATGATATAATATGTTTATGTGTGTGTTACTTACCACCAGAAAATTCTATATATAATGACTCACTAGTTTTTTATACTAAACTGCTAGAACAGGTGTATATGTATCAAAATATTGGTAAATTGTATATTTGTGGTGATTTTAATTCTAGATGTGGAGATGCCCAAGATTTTATTGAAGGTGTTGATAATGTACAAATAAGAGAAATTGTTGATAGTATATCAAATAGAAATGGTGATTTACTCATTGAGTTTTTAGTAGATTGTAATATGGGTATGGTAAATGGGCGAATTGGTTCGCAAGATTTTACTCATATTAAAGGTACAGGGAAATCTGTTGTAGACTATGTCCTTACTCCACATGAACAGTTAAACGATGTAATTAATTTTAAAGTGAATACAATGTCAGACTTAGTAACTGAGTTATCGCTTGTCGGATACGAGTCGATTCCGGATCATTCTCTGTTAGAATGGGGCATACGAGTTAGAACGTATATGTCGGAAGTAGAGCAAAACGAGAGCGGTATAGGAGTAAATCGGGTTAAAGGTCCAAGAAAGTTCAAGCTAGATGGATTGAGTAACGAACCTTTTTCTAGTGAAAATATGCAGAATGTATTACGAGATACTATATATCGAATTGAAGTTGCTTTAAACCGTAGTAAAGACGTGAATAAGGCTTTTATCGAACTGAAATATTTACTTATTAAAGAATTGGAGCTAACATGTAAAGAATTGAAACCGCCCGTTTCTAATATGCGAACGAATAAGTGTAAGCGGAAACCGTATTGGTCTGATGAATTACAGGACTCATGGAACAAAACGTGTGATGCTGAGAGGCAATGGAAGCGATGCAAATCAATTGGAAAATCTAAGCTCCGTACTCGATTTATGCAATCACGAAAAGATTTCGACAAATTAAATCGGAAAGCGAAGCGAAATTATCAGCTAGAACAACAAAATAAACTTCAAAAACTTGGCGAACAAAATTCATCTGAATTTTGGAAGTCTATAGGAAAATTAGGACTTGCCAATGATCGCAAATCGAGACAGACTTTTCAAATTCGATCAGAAACAGGAGAAATTATAAGTGACATTGACTCTGTATTAGAAAAATGGAAAATAGACTATAAAAAGTTGTACAACAGTGCTGATATGAATGGTTCGTATGATGACGAATTTCTTAAGGACATTAAAAGTAAACTTCAAAATAGGAATAATTTAGTCCATGACAATAATATTGATACAACTGAACTTAATAGAGCTATTGAAAGGGATGAGGTACGCGAGGCCGTTTTTCGAGCTAAGCAAGGTAAATCCGCTGGAATTGATGAGATACCGAGTGAGATTTTGCGAAATGACACGTGTATAGACTTGTTATATAAAATTATTCAGTTTTGTTTCATAGAAGGGCACGTTCCTAGTGAATGGTTAACGAGTATGATCTCTCCGATTCCGAAACTGGATTCCCTTAATCCACTTGAATACCGTCCAATTTCATTAATATCAGTGCCGTGCAAAATATACGCGGATATTTTGAATAAAAGATTGACAAATTGGTTAGAACAAAATGACATGTTAGCAGAAGAGCAAAATGGATTTAGAAGTAACCGAAGCTGTTTGGATCACTTATATGTATTAACAACAATTATTAAAAATAGAAAGTTACGAAGGAAAGATTCTTTCGTGTGCTTTGTTGATGCGAAGAAGGCTTTTGATAATGTTAATCGGGACATGTTGTGGTATAAGCTGATGAAAATTGGTATTAACGGAACGTTTCTAAAAGCAATTCAGTCTCTTTACGATGCGACACAAAGTGCAGTAAAATTAGGAAACAACTTGACAGATATTTTCCCGGTTCAATACGGTGTGAAACAAGGCTGTAAAATGTCTCCTACTTTGTATTCGATATATGTTAACGATCTTGCGGATGATATTCGCTCGCTTAATGCTGGTGTAGATATTGGTGATTTAAATGTATCTATTCTTCTTTACGCTGACGATGTTGCGTTGATAGCTCCAAATGAACAGAATTTACAAAAGATGTTGGACTGTTTAAAAACCTGGTGTAGGAAATGGAGAATGACACTAAATAAAGAAAAAACAAAGGTTATTCATTTTCGTAATAAAAACACTGCTAGATCTACTGTCGAATTTAACTGCGGAGAAACTTCGGTTAATTATATTTCATCCTACAGATATTTGGGACTGCATTTGAATGAATTTTTGGATTATAAACATACAGTACGAGAAATTACTAAATCAGCAAGCAGAGCACTTTCAGCCTTATATGCTAAATTTATTTCATGTGGTGGAATGACTTATGATGTGTTTACGAAACTTTATAGGTCTGTAGTTGAGCCTGTTCTATACTATGGTTCTGGAATATGGGGGCATACAAATTGGAGAGATGTACAAGTTATACAGAACAAAGCATGTCAGTTATTCTTAGGAAGTGCTTCAAATGCGTCAAATATAGCCATTCAGGGTGATATGGGACTTAAAAGTACGAAATCAGCAGAAATTTTGGAAACTTTTCGTCTTTTTCTTAGAGTGAGCAAAACTTACGATACAAGACTTACATATAAGGTTCATGCGTGGAGTAAGGATTGTTCTAGGTCATGGGATAAAAACTGTATAAAGAAAGCACAAATTTTAGGTATTGAAAATGTTATTAATGATACTTTTTCCATCAAACATAAACTGCAAGAAATCAAATCCAAACTCTATGAAAAAGATAAAAATGAATGGGTTGAAAAATTGTTTAAAGACAGAAATGAATGTAATGGTAATAAATTACGTATGTATAGGGAGTATAAAAATGTTTTAGAATTTAGTTCTTATGTAAAATTAGTTCGTAATAGGCAGCATAGACATGTTTTGTCAAATTTTAGAAGTGGCTGTTTACCACTGGCAGTTGAAACGGGTAGATACACCAAGCCAAAAATTCCTTTAAATGAGCGTACTTGTATATATTGTACAGATAATTGTGTTGAGGATGAAAAACATTTTTTGTTAGGGTGCGATTTTTATGCAGATTTAAGATATGATTTAATGAAGAAATCTGGTGATATTTGTGAGACTTTTAACGATCTTGATTTACAGGACAAATTTATTTTCTTAATGTCAAATGATGCAATTCAACCATTTTTAGCAAAAACTTTATATCACATGTTTTATCGAAGGAGGTATTGTGTGTAATAATATTTTAGTACATTAGTTTTAATTGTTTTATAATATGTGTTATATTTTTAAAGTGTCTCATAAGTCAGTTATTTGGCTGGGTACCAATATTCTAATTGTAATATTTAATTTTTAATTGCATATTATGTAATTATGTATTCATTGTGTTTTATATTGGTATGTGACACTATAATAAATTATTCTGATTCTGATTCTGTTAATTGAGCTTCCTCTATAATGCTCTACTTTCCTTATCATAGAAATGGTGTAGATTTGATTGACATCTTAATGGATCATGATAATTATTGTCACATTAACTGCTGAGAAGAGCCTACTTAAAAAGCTCCAAGCATCCTCCGAGCATGCTCGGAGCTTCCTCGTAAGAATAAATCTATGATCCCTTTGGTCGGTCGGTTTTTTTTGGCCATGTTTTGAAATTTTTCTAAATTGCCCGATTCTTATAAAGACTGGCACTTAACTGTAATCCAAGTTTTTCAAACACAACCTTTTTCTTTCCTTTTCCAATTCAGTATATAACAAATAACTGTAGTACTTTAGATAACCTTACCTGGCTATGACTTCTTTGTTTACTGTTCTGTTGATTACGTCTCTTGTAAAATATAAGGACTGAAACATAAACAAATAAATGAAGAAACAAATCTATTAAAATAAAACAGGCTGTGAGACTTCACCATGGAGAACAAGAGTTTGACTGTAATTAACTGTCAATTCAAGGAGGAACATCAAATTTCAAACATGTCCTGTCAAAAATTTGTCATTTCAAAATCTTCTGTTAATAGAAATAATTATGTGTACAATTCTTATCAAGAGTCTAAAAAATGAATTCAAAAAATTCTTCTATGACTATCTCATTGTGTTGTAGAAGCTGTATGTTTACAGTCTCCATAAAATAATAATTTTTACTCAATACAGATCTAATAACTTTTTAATGGCCTTGATAGTAGGGCTTACAATTCAATATAAAGAAAGAGTTTTGTTTCAAATAGTTACCATCTGATAATTTTCTGGCAAATTGTATGTTGGAGATATCACCATAAAGGTCTCTTTAACCAGCTCAAAAATATATTGCCTAAAGCTCACAGAAGATTCCAATGGCTGTCGACCATAACTTCCTTTCAAAGACATCTAAAATAAAAAAAATATTACATTTCATCTTTAAGCAAATAGTTGTATGTCATGATATTGGCAGAATTATCAAGGGTTTTAGTATGTACTGAATAATCAACATAAAGGACCTTTGCTAAACAAATTTTCACAGAGTTTCTTCATTTTTTTTCTGGGTTTTCGTCACTTTATTTTATATATTCAAAATAAATTCAATTCCTTATTTTTCCTTAAATTTTTTTGTGGCCTTAGAGCATCTGTAATTCTTAACTTTCCTGATTTCCAGCAAGTGTATAGTCCCTGAACATGCTATGATTCAATAATCAAAGAGCTGAAAGCTCTGAGGAAAAATGACGCCACTGTCTCTAATATTGTGATATTTTTTATGCAAGTCTTGATTTTCACATACCGTAATTAGTTTAACATTCCAACATGTCTCATAAGCATATAAAATTGATATTCGTATATGTGTGTGTTATGTGAAGATGACAACTGGCTGTTTTTTTAGTACAAATGTATAGGTCAAGACTACCTGAATGATCTACAGTATCCAATGACTACTGGCTGTTTTTTTCTATAAATAAATAGGTCAAGACTACCACAATGATCTACAATATCCAATGACTACTGGCTGTTCTTTTGTACTAATAAATAGGTCAAGACTATTTGAATGATCTACAATATCCAATGACTACTGGCTGTTCTTTTGTACATATAAATAAAGACTACCTGAATGATCTAAAGTATTCTAAGTAATGTGATTTTTGTCTTGCAATTACATTTTTCTAAATCAAGAATATAGACTACTAGTATCCTTTTCAAAGACAAACCAAATGATTATGAAGAGCCTGTTGTTATCAAGCTCTTATACCCCACATACTCATTAAATAAGTTACTAGTGACCTAGTTATTTCTGTTACTTGAAGCAAATTATATTTCTGTAGATTTAGACAATAGTATAATATTGTTTTAGTAGTTTTATTTCACCTTGAAGATTAGACAAATAGGGATATTCCTTTGATTTTTTATTTCATGTCAGTCAGGTCGCTTTATATGAAACTTGAAACCACTTCTCTGCCATATTGTTATTTCATAACAACTCTGCCCTTGACCATGTTGACCCATGTAATTGATATTCATTCTTTAACCATATATCATAGTCAGTTAGTTTTTGATTTTGCACTCCCACACCACCTTTCAGGTCAAATGTCTGTCTCCATTTAAGTTAATGACATTGAACAATCATGGTATTAAACACAATTCCAATAGTGATAATGCTGTTCTAGTAGGTCGCCATATATTCAACTCGGGTAGCATTCCAGTTTTGAAATTTGTGTCAGATTAGAACAATGATCTAGACCTTTAGGAATGGATCTTACAATTTAATATGGAGCCATAGTATGGGACCCCTACACGGTAACAAAAAAAAAACAAGCTTGAAAAGATACAACGTCAAGCGGCAAAATCTATCACCAGAAATTACAAGTCAAGAGAGGATGGACGGGATACGTCTCTAAAATGCTTGCCTAACTGGAACTACAACAAGATCTCCAGACAAGACAAACAAGGAGTTGAAGCCAGAAGTTAATATTTATATAAAAAGTAGTTGAGGGGCTGATTCCCGCTATTGAACCATACTGTCATTCTATAATATTATTGCGTAAGTATTTCTGTATTGTCCTTGTTATTGGTCCATGTCTTGGTGTATTGGTCTGAGGCGAAGCCGAAGGCCAATACTGCTGGCCGAGGACCAACAATAAGGCCAATACAGAAATACATGTAATAGTATCTTTATTAATTAACTACAGTGTTACAATATTTTTTTATTTCATTTCACAAGAGATAAACATTTTTACCTTGAAGTGGAACTATCCAAATCTCAGTTTCTTTTTATAAGATGCAATATCTAATGATTTGGTGCCGTTTCCATGCATCTTCAGCCTTTTCTCATCTGATGAATTTTTCTACCCTTTCCAGTCACTATAAAGTGTTACAACTTTAATTTAGACACAACACATAAATAGTAATTGGAAAGGTACTGCCATTGCATGTGTAATGCAAATATATTTAAAAAAAAAATAATGTAAGAGTTGAAATTGATACAACTATCCATAAGCCAATTGACCAAAGAACGAAGATTTGCGCAATTACAGAATGCATATGCCTGGCTCGGGTTTAAAAATAAAAGACCGTTTACAAAACATGAGAAGCGAAAGTGAACAGTAAAAATCGACATGATGAAATTATGAGGTCGTCAAGAAATGAACTTTGTGATAATTTACTCGTTCCCTAAACCTGAAATATTTCCATCGTCTACTTTCAAAATGCTTTTCAAATGAATGGGACCGTCTTTAACCTAAAATATATGCCATACTGAACGTTTCAGCTTGTTTATGGTGAGTAAATAAAAACTGCGTTGTACAAACAACTGTTTACTTTCAGTTTGAGTTTATCGTGACTTACGATCTAAAAACTAGAGACGTTCCGAAATCCTGTTTTGGCCGGATCAGAAATAACAGAATGGCAAGATGCACCTTTGAAAACTATGTAGGCGAAGAATTTGAAACAAAGATAGGGCTGCCACAAGGATCAGTTCTTGCTCCCACATTATTCAACATCTTTATCAACGACCTACTGGGAGATATTCTAGGAGACTACACAAAATTTGCTGATGATGGAACACTCTGGCAAACAGCTAAACCAGACCAGATAATAGAACTAAAGGATAGAATGAAGGATGACATCACAAAAGCAGTGAAATGGACTCAGAAATGGAGAGTAAACATCAACCTGGACAAAACTGAAATATGCATCTTCTCAAAAAAGACAATCGATGAAGAGGACAAACGTATTCTGATTCAAGGTAAAGAACTCAAATACAGCTCGACACCAAAGCTCCTTGGAATCATTATGGACGAGAAAATGACCTTTAGCAAACACATAGATGCCATTGAAAAAAGAGCAAACCGGAATTTAACTATTCTGAGAGAAGTGAGACAGATTAGCAAAGTAAAGACAGAAAAGCTATTACAATTATACTACAGTCTAGTTAGATCAGTCATGGAATACTGTAGCCCAGCATGGCAAATAGCAGATCCAAAAGACCTGCAAAAACTTGACAGAGTACAGAGAAAAGCACTAATCCTATGCATGGATATGCCTACAACATCTGGCAGAGAAGCACTAGAAGTCGAAACAGGAGTTATGCCAATAGACCTTAGGCTAGAACAAATAGCCATAAAAGAGATAGCAAAGATTAAATCCAAATCTGCACAGGAACCCATCAAACAGAAACTTGTGAGGTATGAAGATCAGGACACCTATGACAAGTACCCAACACCGATGGGCAAAGCACTAAGCCAAGCAGCAGAAATGGACAAACAGACGAAGATTAACATCAATCTCATAGAACCTGAGTTTACCTACAGACTGGGAGAAACTCAAATGACCCAATCAAAACCTTCATATTGGAGTCGACTAGGCAACTCAAAATCAAGGACAAGTGAGCAACAAGAACTTTGCCAGGAAACCATTAACCAACTCATGGGAGATTGCGCACAAGAACAAGCAATATCGTTCACAGATGGATCATGCTTAGGGAACCCAGGACCCTGTGGAGCAGGAGCAATTATTTATGCTGAACACATTAAACCTGCTGCAAGACTACACAGACCTGTGGCACAAAGAGGATCCATCCTCCTGGCAGAACTCATAGCGATTCTCATGGTCCTTGAATACTGCATTACAGAAAATATGTACAACACAATACAAAAAATCAAAATTTTCTCTGACAGTCAAAGCGCCGTGGGATTACTAACACTGAACTGGGCCCCAAATAGCTACATCTCCGTAATAAGAGAAATAAAAGAAAACATTGAGCATCTTAGGCAAAAAGCACTAAATGTAATCATATCATGGACACCAGGACATGCCAATATAGCTGGCAATGACGAGGCTGACATCCTTGCAAAAACAGCAGCACAGGAAGCAAAAGAACTACCACCGGAAAATAACGTCATAACACTACAGGACGTCAAACAGGCAGCCTATAAAAGTACAGGAGAAAAATGGCAGAGAAGATGGGAAATATCTGAGAGAGGCAGGGACCTTTACGAAAAAATACCAACTACGAAACACTCAATCATGTATGATTTTCCCACTAAAAGACATTTCAGTATATTCGCCCAACTAAGAACTGGCTATACAGAACTCAACTACTACAAGAACTGAGTAGGCCAAACCAACGGCATAGAATCATGCAACTGTGGAGCACCTGAAACACCTCACCATTTCCTTCTGGAGTGTCCCTGCTATGAGAACAAACGAGCAGATATGTTACAACAAATATCCAAAGAGGTCGGGACCAGAAACCTGAATTTAGCTACTATGCTAACGAGACTAGACGGCGAGAACACCGAAGAGTCAAAAGCCAAACTACAAACAGTGGCACATTACATTGACAGAACAGGCAGATTTGATACTGCTGTTCCTCAATCCCAATCTTAACCAGCGCATACTAAATTAAAGCACAGAGAAGAAAATACGCCGAGAAAAACGCACCAGAGAGAAAACCTGCACATTGGGAAAATTCGTGCCAACAGGCCTTAAGATTGAGGATTGAGGAACTCGGCCAATACGGAAAAAAATCTGTATTGGCCGAGTTGACATCTTATATTGCATATGCAGTTTTCATCATTTTAAGTACAATAACAGTGTAGTTAATTAATAATGATACAGTTACAGACTCTGCTGCTATAACTTTGTGAACAAAGATTCATACGCACCGCGTGGGTATAACCGTATTACTAATTTCCGATTATTAAAATCTTCGTAAATCTTGATAAAGACCAGTTTCTATCCAATGGATATCAAAATGATTCCGATTATTACTTTTTTAATGATTGTAAAGTTGAAATGGCATGAAAGGCTGACATTATTTAGGAGAACTATTTTGTCTAGCGATTGCTGATCATTGGAGGGTAAAAAGTCCAACACCATAACAAAACGGATCTATTTATCATGTATACATACCGATTGTTTACGATTGTAAGACATGTGCATAAAAGTGAAAGCTCGAATAAATATGAAAAATATAACAAAGGGATAGCTCCAAATACCATTTAATAACAAAAAACATATGGACAGGTCAAGATATCTTTTTGGTAAATAAAATAACGTATGTAAACTGGTTCCCGTCCGACTACAACACTTTAACAAAGACTTTGTTCGAGTGTAGCGTAAGACAAGCAGATTCCAGTTAGTATGTAAAATAGTAAATATGAAACCGAGTGCGGTAGGCGGAGGCATAATCAACTTCCGTTAGTTCTGGTCAATGGTATCGGAAACATGCCGCTGATAGCGTCATTTTCCAAAAAAACAATGCAACTGATTTTTAAGCATAACATGAAATGGCATTGCCAACATTCCCAAACTGTTTTTACGCTTTAAGCTTGATTATTGTCTAACCTTTTATCACGTCATTACTTTTCTCCTTTACTAATTTATAATTTATTATAAAACTAAAGTTCAAACTTACTCAGGCAAGGTTGACCTTAGATGGGTTTGGCTATTATTTTTAGGTCTGTTTTGGCCATATAGCTCTTTGCATGTTTCAGTACCTAATATATATATACATCATTGGCTTTCAAATTTTTGTCTTTGAGAAATACTGATTACGGCAAATCAAGAAAAATGCTTTAGATACATCATATTTGAAAAGTGCTTTTCATTTACTCCTTTTTGTGTCCCTGCCATAGTCGACAGGGGCATTAAGTGTTACCCTTGATCTTCTGTCTGTCCGTCCCTCAGTCCGTCCCTTTTTCGTTTGTTTGAAGCTTGAGCGAGGGGATTCATGTCCTCAGACACATTCTTCTTTTATTTCAAAAATAACTTACTACTATTGGATGAACAAGGGATGAAGTACTTCCTGCTGAATTCTAAAATAAACAAAAATATATGAAAATATATACACAGCTGATCACAAATACATGCGACAAACATAACAATTTCCTTCTACAGCAATATAACTACATGTATATCACAGACACATCATTATGGGGTATATACATATTACATTTGTTATTCTACTCTACAGCTTATGCCCTATAGGATTTTTTTTATAGAGCATAAATACTTTCAAATAAACTGCTGAGTCAGGAATATGTTCAGCCTAAATTGACATCATCTATATAACATTTTCACCGTCACAAGTTCTATAAATAATCATCATATTTCCCTATGACTACATTATTCTGCTCAATGTTTTGGTAAATACTTGGGAGTCAAGAGTTCTAGTCTTTTAAATTGAGTAAAAGGAGGTGATCCAAGGCCAAATAATGTATTTTGCACCCTTTGAGACTCGTATATTTACATTGAGTTTGATCTTTTGCTAAAAGTGACAAAATTAAGACATTCAAAAGCCCACATCAGGATTCTTATCCTGCCATGTGCAAATCATAAGACACATGTAATATACATGGAAATATACCTACCCTTCTGAAGCACCGTATATCACTTGTACTTTTGGTTGAAGTTCATACTGTTCTAATCTTTTAGTTTCAGGCATTCACTGAAAGCCAAGGGCGATAATTGTGAAAGGAAGGTCAATTGGAACAAACACAAACTCTGTAGTCTTTAAACACTAAATCAGATCATTATCTGCAGGCATAACAAACAAACAGTTGATTTAAGAATGAGGGAAGGACAAACAAAACCATATGTCTTGGTTACCTAAAGACAAGGCATAACAATTGTTGAACATATATGGTATTTAAATGTGAAAATAGGTTTAATAATTACAACTTACCCAGAATTTGACCAAATATATAGTGACAATGTCCTTCAGCCTTCTCTGTATGAAAGGGTCTCTTTTAAAATCAAGATTGGCTAATCCACTAACAAACTAAAATAACAAGTATAAAGATTGGCTAATCCACTAACAAACTAAAATAACAAGTATAAAGATTGGCTAATCCACTAACAAACTAAAATAACAAGTATAAAGATTGGTTAATCCAGTAACAAACTAAAATAACAAGTATAAAGATTAACTAATCCACTAACAAACTAAAATAACAAGTGTAAAGATTGGCTAATCCACTAACAAACTGAAATAACAAGTATAAAGCTTGTATAATAGCTATATTAGAGAAAAAAAGCTTTAAAAGGAAAGGTATATATGATATAAAAGATTCAGAAAAATGTTTCTCAAACAGAAAAAAATTAGAAGCTAAAGTAGTCATTCACCAAACAGTACAATGCATAAGGTATAACATCAACAAAAGCCCTTGCCTAGCGATGAAGACATTACCTCACAGTTCAGCGGCAGATATTATTTGATCAAATGACTTTAATACTGATAATACAATAGTTCATTAATTAGTCCACCACAGGCACAGCAAGAACTGGACTAAAATGGATAGGAAATTTTTTCGGTATGACCTTGAACTTACCAAATGTAAGTGATCCCTGATAATTCCTAAGAAGACTGGACTCATTGGTTTATCTTTCTTGAACAATGTATGTGGTACTATCATTGTGTTTATAATGTCAGGGAGTGGACAGTTTGGTTTGGACTGAAATAAAAGATAATAAAATTGACTTGTTCAAATAAGAAATTGTTAAATATTGCAAGTAATTACTAAGTTAAAGGGATTATTGATATGAAATGTACGAGATATTTGGTCTTCATATACATAAGGGAACCCAACACATCTTTGGCCATATAAGGCTATACTAAACTAACATGTTACTCTAAATTTAATTCTAACCCTAATTCTTAAACCTTACTTTAACCTGACCCTTACTCTTAAATAAAAGCTTACCCTAAAATACATCGTCCCCAATAGTACATGAAGGGCAAATATTCCATTGTGTAACAATACGCATCAAATTATTTTTACGTTACTTTATTTGAAGTTAATCTCATATTTACCTTAGGGATATAACAAAATAGGATACTGGTGTATGAAATATATTAAGAATTTTACAGGTCAACATCAATTGTCCAAAGATATAAATTCATTAAAATATTGTGCTGTGAACTTGATTTCAGTGACTGAGCAAACTTTGATACTGCATAATCTAGTACTATTTTTGTAATTGATATCAATTAGTTTTGTGCTTTTTCTTAATTGCTTTATATTTTGTAATTTTCATAGTATTATCTGTTGTTTTACTGACAGAATGACCAATTCTATGTCGTGTTTTGAATATTGCTGTTTACATTTTGGTAGTTTTTCCTTTTTTGCCATGGCATTGTCAATTTATTTTCGAGTTTCATTATCCCTTTAATATCTTTCGCCTCTCTTCAAATCAAAAAGCTATGGTTCACTAATGATACCCAAGTATTAATGATACATTTAAGTTTTTGATAAACAGGAAGTTGATGAGTAATATGGATCTAAGGCTTGGGTATATTTCAAAATACATGAATAATGAGTCAAAATTAAGTACAACAAATAAAAGATTGGACGGACAGACAGATGGAGACAAACCGTCAGTCCTCTTAAAATTCATCAATAGGGGCTATTAAAATGAATATTGCATGGACAGACAAATGGAGAGCAGACCTACTGTCTCCAATAAGGGAATAATAAAATGATTACCTTGACATACAAAAGGTGAGCACAACACTTGATAAGATAGCCTATAATAGAGTAAGCTGTAGATAGAGTTTCTACTGGTCGGAACGTTTGTAAGAATGGCATGACATGGCGATGAATATCCTTCACATAATCTGTCACTTGGTCACGAAGTTCTATTTTCTCCTTCCAATTCTACAACAAAGCACAGTGAGGTGTTACAAAATTCTCCATATACAAAAACTTATGTCTGGAGAACTTGTGTCTTGACTCCTATATTTAACTATTGTCGTATTGATGCCATGATGAAATTTTTTACATTGTATACCAGTACTCTAAGAGTAATTATGGTATAAATTTGTTCAGCTGCAATATATAGGAGACTATAAATGTCGTAGCACAAGATCATTATGTATATATTATAATCTTGGGTCTTTTGAAAATGTTGTGAACTGTGATGTTTTAGTCATTCGTGCAACCATTTAAGTTAAAATTGTTTCTTTTTAATTTTAAATCTATAAAAGAAGATAGCTCTTATTGCAACTATAAACTTTTGCACTGCATAGCCAGGGCAAGTTCTCCATGTCTAATTATGACAGACAAGATATTAACAAATTAATTTTCGTAATAAGATTTTTTTTAACTGTACCTCTAATTTATCATACAAGTTCTGTATAGCTTTGAATACATGGAATAAGATCTTGTCATGTTCGTCTGGTACAATGTAACTGGCTCTGTTCAAGATACCTTGTACAGCTGGTAGATTCAGCATGCTTCTGTAATTAAAAGGAAAAAAAAAAACATTTTGGATGTAGTTTATTTAATCCTGTTCTTTTCATTCATATTTCTTTTCCTCTGTATTACAAGATTGATGAACTGATAGTGCCTCTTTGTTCAAAATTTCAAAAAGCTGGTAAATATATCCTTCACCTTTATAGGTCTTATAAATTGGTGAGAAATATAATGGAATAGGCCTGGACTTCTACAAAACAACTCTTTGGTCCTGTAATATTTTACTGTAAAATCTAAAATGTTGTGCTTTATAAAATTAAAGAAGATTGAAGAAATGTATAATATCATCTTTTTCTATAAATTTAAACAGATCACAACTGTCAAATAGTTTGTCATGTGACCACATTGAGTAATATACCTGTTCAGGGCCTGAAGTTGTTGTGATGAAGCAGGCACCAATACAGCACATCTTATTCAGGTTTGTATCAATGCAATTTGATAGTTGGTCATGTGACCACATTAAATAATATACCTGTTCAGGGCCTGAAGTTGTTGTGATGAAGCAGGCACCAATACAGCACATCTTATCCAGGTTTGTATCAAGGCAGTTTGATAGTTGGTCATGTGACTTGATAAAAGGTCAAGGGCATTATCAACTGTGACAATGTGACTGAGGTATCTGCATACAATACTGTAAATAATTTATCAGTCAATAATTGTGTGTTTTGTATAATTTTGTTTAGATAAGAAGTATTGAGACTCTTTTGTAAGATGCCTAATCACTGTATATGACTCATTAATGTATTTTAATAAGAGTAACATAGTAGCTGTCACTAGGGAAGCAGATACCGCTAACTCATTTAGGAGAACCTAAGTTTACCACCATTTTATTGGTAGGGTTCATGTTGCTCCGTCTTTAGTTTCCTATGTAGAGTTATAATGACTTGTTTTTCATCTTTCTTCTTTTTTGCCATAGTGTGGTCTGTTTTTCTTTATCAATGGTGTTTGATTTCTTAAAACTAAGATCTTCATTTATATAAAAACATCAAGAAAATTTGAAAATCCTGAAAATAAATCAATGCAAATTTAAATGCGAAATAAAGTATCCATGAAAAATTAGTGTATGATACAAAATTATCTTAAAAAAACAACAGTGTACAGTGTATATATGCAAGTTAAAAGAATAAAAACATTCAAAATATTTTTGTACTCACTTTTTATTTATGTTTTCACAGTTCAACATCAACTTCATTACAGTGAAATAATCATCTGGTTTACTACAATCAGAGAATAATTATTTTTCATGTTTTTTATTTATATTGGTGTAATTCCATTTTTTGTAAACCAATACACAAAACACATTGTTAAACAGTATATAGTACACAAGACTTATATGGAGCAGAATCTGCTTACCCTTCCAGAGCACTTGAGATCACATCAGGTTTTTGGTTGGGTTCTTGTTGTTCAACCTATATAGTTTTTTTTTTGTATTTTGCCATGGCATTGTCAGTTTGTTTTCAATTTACAAGTTTGAATATCCCTTTGGTATCTTTCCCCTCTCTTTTATATCTTTCCATTAGAAGTTTAAAAAAAATTCATTCCATATGGAAGGAAGAGGAAAAAAGATACAAGTTAGGCATTATTTAAATATTTTGTATTTGATGTTGAATGATGGTAATGACGTGTTTAAAGTCCATGGCATAAGGGACAAGAACTTGTTACTGTGTGATATGAAATCTGTTTTGTACATTAGACCAGCAGGCTGAGCAAGATTTTTAATATTAAGTTCAAAAGGTTACAGTCCACAGGAAGACACATCAGCCTACCCTCAGACTTTTTTTTTTACTCCCAAGTTTATCCATCTCTAATCTTCTGCTTAAATGTTGCTTTGGAGAGAAGCAGCAAATAGTGGTTCTTAAAACTTTGGTTTGACCTGGATGAGGATTCAACCCTCAACCTAGGATCACTCAAGATGAGCAGGCTACTTTGAAATCACCAACCTGTGTTCTTGAATAATGAACAAATTTGTGTGAGGGTAGGCTGACATGTCTTCCCAACAAAATAAGGCAAATAAACAATTTTTTATGACTTTTATTGTACTTAATAACATCAACAACCCTTCTTTTCATCAGCATTCACTCATTAACATTAAAAGAGACACAAGTTATCAAATCTGATTTTTTTTCAGTTCGACCAACTTTTAACTACATGAGTCATCTGTATCTTAAAATTAAAATACACAAACCAATCTAATGCCAACAAGGAAATCTCAGCCAATATGTCTGCTAACTGAACTTGTGCTGTTTGACTCTGACAAAGGTCTCTAACAGGTGGATAGATGTTGCAAAATACTGCATTGTGGAATACTGAAATAGTAAACATGTTGTCCACAACCAATAAAATACATCAGAATTCTCATCTCCTTTTACGTTAACAGTATCTCGCCATGAGTAACACAAAGGGTGCCATATGTGAAGCAGGATCTGTTTAAGTACTCTTTTGGAGCACCTAAGATCCCCATTGGTTTATGGTGGGGTTTGTGTTGCTCAGTTTTTGGTTTCTATGAAGTGTTTTCAGACTTTTGTTTGTCTTTTTGCTGTTTTTTTTTGCCAAGTTGTTGGTTTTTACACAACTAATAATTTTTTAACACCTTGATTTGTCAAATTTTGTTACTAAGCAGACAATGCATTTTGTGAAAAAGTGAAACAAGCAGTAGTATTTTAAAATTAATTAAGAAATACAGTAATATGTTTATATTTAGTGGACATAACGCATTATTTGTTAATAATTTGGACATCCAATAGTATTTCATTCACAAGTGGGATATCCAAAAATATATTTTTTTAGAAATTGAAATACACAAAAACGTTTTTTAATAAGTGTGACACACAGTATGACATACCTGTCAACTGACCCGTATCCTCTGGTTCACACCCTAGAATTCACCCCTTACCCGGGTTTTTTTAAAACACCCGCCCAGTGGCTACAACAACCCGGGATTTCAGAAAATGACCCGTTTTCACCCGTATTTCAGACCGGGATTGTTTCTGGTATTAAGAAGTCAAATATACTTCCGATTTTCTCGGCATTTTTCCTTTGAAAAGGTAAACAATTGAAATTAGAATTTGCTTATTTACCATGCCAATGGCAGCTATCAAAACATTACATTTGATTGAAAAGTAACAATTCGAGGATTGTTTGTTAATTGTACCACAGAAAGTTGAAGCCAGTCAAGCTTGAAATACAATTTTATGTCTTGCTTAAAAGATTTGCCGTTTGCAAATATCAAATATCCTGTAAAAATCATTTTAAAACAATTTGAACCTTTTAATACATTTCTGGTGGAGAGAATAATTTTGTTATCACTTAAATGTAAAAGCTTTTAATCAAATCCATATGCTCTAGATATTACACTGAAAGGAAACACACTAACTTCTTTCTATTTATCTTCCTCCTGTGTATAGGAGCACATAAGCTATAATATTGATTTATAATTACATGTACAGATGGGGTTTATGACATTCATTAATAAGAAGAAGTAAACTAGTGTGAACTAGACATCATTGAGATGGGAGCCATCTCTGTGGGCCCCACTGTGAATAACGTGTGGTAAAAAATTTGTATCTTTACCATGGGACATAGGGTTGTCATCTGAAACCAAAGTTTTTGACCTTGACCTAGGAAGTTGTACATACATTATGACACACCCTCTGGTGTTGGTTAATATACATGTCAAGTATAAACTTTGAAATCATAAAGGTTCTCAAGATGTAGAGCGGACACGATCTTTACCATAGGACATGGGGTTGTCAACTGAAACCAAAGTTTTTGACCTTGACCTAGGAAGTTGTACACACATTATGACACACCCTCTGGTGTTGGTTAATATACATGTCAAGTATAAAGTATGAAATCATAACGGTTCTCTAGATATAGAGTGGACACAATTTGTTACGGACAGACTGATCACTATAGGGCGACCCGCCATTCGGCTGGGCCCTAATAAAACAATAAAAGGGCATTGCTTTAGAAAGATATTTAATTAATGATAAATATTTATATATATAACAAATACAAAAGCGATTATTTTCAGGCAACTCAGTGGTACATGTATATGTTATCGTATATAAAAAAACTCTCAATACTAAAATTGGACCGAAAAAGTTCGTACGCGTTATGACCTGATATTTTCTTCTTCAATGCAGGTCATGACCTGCATTTTCAGTTTCAGAGGTTGACAGGTATGAGTATGATTCGGTCAATAAGTGGGACAGGAGTAAAATTTTGATTATAAGTGGTACACAAAGTAATTTTTTGTTGAAAAGTAGGACACAAAGTAGAATTTTATTTGTAAAAGTGCAATGAAGTAATATATATATAAATTACTAATGGTTCCACAAGTAAAGATTTTCTTAACACAAGAGTTCACCAGGAAAATCATATTCCACATTAAATAACAAATCCATGCCTATACTGAAATGTCCACAAGTTTTTTGAATTGTGAAAGAGTAAATGAACATACAATACCTTCAGCTTGTTGGAAATTACCACTTGTAATACCAAACACATCTCTCTTGTCAGATAAACTTGTCAGCCTACAAAATAAACAGAGGAAGAATATTTAATACTTTTCTCATTTATTGCTTCAAATGTTTCATGTCAGGGCCTTTTATAGCTGACTATATGGTATGGGTTTTGCTTATTGTTGAAGGCCAAAGGGTGGCCTATAATTGCTTAAATCTATGTCATTTGAACTCTGTTGGATACTTGTCTCCTAAGCAATCATACCATATTTATGAATGTGTTTTTCATACTCCATTAATTTCTTATATAAAAAAAAAAGACAAAAATTACTGTTTATACAATATACTCATCACTGATCCTAGCAATAAATTACAATTTAACTAATTTGGTTTCATTATATATGTGATAGTACCTGACTTTACTAATAACATCTTGTAGTCCTGATATAACTGTTGGTACCTCATTATTCCTACATGTCTTTAACAACTTAGAATAGCCTTCTCCTGAAATAGTATAACAGTAATAACATTACCTTCCAATGTATATCTAATTAGCAATTGTCAGCGATTAAAAAAAATAGAGTTATGATATCATATACTGATGGTGGTTTTAAAAGATCTTGAAGTTTTAGTTTACAGCAGAAACTCAATCTAAAAAGTTATTAACCTAAAGCTTCGAGCATCCAGGTAAGTTAACATTTCTGATCATTTTTAAGTGTTAATGAATTTAAGGTTTAATTAATGTCTATAAAGAACCATAACAGAGTACATGCCAGATATAACAATAATAGACAAAGTAAAATTTTATTGATACTATGCCATCAATTTATTAGATGTTGTTTCAAAAGTTTTCCAACTAAGAGCCAAAATAATGTTGCTACTTTTGTACTTAATCCTGGCCGTCTTCCTAGAAATTTGCTATTACAATACCTTACATGCAGGTATAAGGAGTATATTTCAAACCCTTATCAGCAATTTAAGTAAAGGCTCTTACAACATTTAGTAGTGCCTTTGATAAATAAATCAATGACCATAACTCCAGAACAACAAGAGTGCACACGCTGAAATGTCTTGCCTTCTTTACTAATCATTGATATTATGTTGATAGTCCTAAATATAAATCTTTATTACAACTGTCACATAAACTTAACATTAACCAAGTAAACTAAACATTGACCAATGAACCATGAAAATGAGGTCAAGGTCAGATGAACCATGCTAGGCAGGCATGTACAGCTAACAATTCTTCCATACAACAAATATAGTTGACCTATTGCTTATAGTTTAAGAAAAACAGACCAAAACACAAAAACTTAACACTGAGCAATGAACCTTGAAAATGAGGTCAAGGTAAAAAAAAACCTGCGTGACTGACAAATAGATCATAAAATATTTCCATACACCAAATATAGTTGAACTGTTGCATATAGTATTAGAAAAAAAGACCAAAACTCAAAAACTTAACTTTGACCACTGAACTAAGAAAACGAGGTCAAGGTCAGACGACACCTGCCAGCTAGACATGTACACCTTACAATCATTCCATACACCAAATATAGTAGACCTATTGCATACAGTATAAGAAAAACAGACCAAAACACAAAAACTTAACTATAACCACTGAACCATGAAAATGAGGTCAAGGTCAGATGACACCTGCCAGTTGGACATGTACACCTTACAGTCCTTCCATACACCGAATATACTAGACGTATTGCTTATAGTATCTGAGATATGGACTTGACCACCAAAACTTAACCTTGTTCATTGATCCATGAAATGAGGTCAAGGTCAAGTTAAAACTGTCTGACCGTCATGAGGACCTTGCAAGGTACGCACATACCAAATATAATTATCCTATTACTTATAATAAGAGAGAATTTAACATTACAAAAATTCTTAACTTTTTTTTCAAGTAGTCACTGAACCATGAAAATAAGGTCAAGGACATTGAACATGTGACTGACGGAAACTTCGTAACATGAGGCATCCATATACAAAGTATGAAGCATCCAGACCTTCCACCTTCTAAAATATAAAGCTTTTAAGAAGTTAGCTAACGCCGCCGCCGCCGCCACCGCCGGATCACTATCCCTATGTCGAGCTTTCTGCGACAAAAGTCGCAGGCTCGACAACAAGTACAAATTGTCAACATCAAACTTCCACTCAATTTTCTCATCAGAAACAACATAATTTTTTTTTCAAAAGATGTTGAAATATTCTCAAGGTATTGCATGGGAATGACTTAACATAAAACATCATTTTTCAATTTTTTCGATTGATGAAGGCCAATATCTCCCAAGCGACAAAAGTGAAAAGCATCAAAATTGATCTTGATCTCATGAGAAACAACATATCAATAATGATGATGGATTGGTGGTGTTTAACACCTGATTTGTCACAGGCTAGTTCACAGTCACCCTACCCCAACACGTTATTCTGTTTCCAAGTTGACTAAACTTCTCTTGGTGGAGAAGCAGCAAATAACCAATTTTTGTTTGACCTGTTCAAGGTCGGCACTTGAAATGAACAAGTTACCACAAAAACCACCCATGTGTTTAATATCATAACAAAATTTGAAAAGAACTCATAGTTGCTGCATGGAAACAGTTAGTAGCCACCAGCTTTACTATCAGAAATTGATATTAACCATTTTTTTCGTCTGTTATAAACATAAATTACCTATCAACAAATACTGAGATAAACCGACATCTTTGGAAGAATCAAATACTTCTTGTGTTCCATCTAAATAGACATTAATCAACTTCCATAAACTGTGTCTAAAACCTGGATCTGATTCAAATACTTCAAATTCCCTGAAAAATATAAACTTTGATCAACTTCCATAAACTGTGTCTAAAACCTGGATCTGATTCAAATACTTCAAATTCTCTGAAAAATATAAACTTTGATCAACTTCCAAGACTGTGTCTAAAACCTGGATCTGATTCAAATACTTCAAATTCTCTGAAAAATATAAACATGGATCAACTTCCATAGACTGTGTCTAAACCCTGGATCTGATTCAAATACTTCAAATTCTCTGAAAAATATAAACTTTGATCAACTTCCATAGACTGTGTCTAAAAACTAGATCTGATTCAAATACTTCAAATTCTCTGAAAAATATAAACTTTGATCAACTTCCATAGACTGTGTCTAAAACCTGAATCTGATTCAAATACTTCAAATTCTCTGAAAAATATAAACTTTGATCAACTTCCATAGACTGTGTCTAAAACCTGGATCTGATTCAAATACTTCAAATTCTCTGAAAAATATAAACTTTGATCAAATTCCATAGATTTTCTCTTAAACCTGGATCTGATTGAAATACTTCAAATTCTCTGAAAAATACAAGAATTACTTTTTTTTAAATAATTTTCATGTAATTTAAATAATTGGTAAGAAATAAAAGTTAGTTAAAATATACCAAGTCTAAATTCAGGGTCTGATTCAAGCATCTAACATAAAGCTTGACATCAATTTCAAGAAGCTCTGATAGTAGTTCCTGAGAAAACCTTCACAAAAATTTCATGTGACAGAGTGACGGAGAGATGTATACCTCCCTCCTTTCCAAGTTATCTGTATTTCCCAAACACCGTAACATGAGTGCATTATGAAAGCAGACTCTAGATTTAGCTTATCACCTGGATATACTGTAAATTGGGAAATTATTGCGAGGTTTTTATTATTACGAAAAATGCGACAGGGTTGTAATCGCAATAATTTAAACTCGCATTTTGGATTTTTTTTTATATGAATGAAGGTGGATTTTTCTAAGTATCGCAAAATTAATAATCGCATTTTGGTCTAAATTGACAAAATCGCAATAATAAATGCACGCAATAATTTCTGAATTTACAGTAGACCAGGGTGTCAAAACAATGATAACTTATATAAAATGGTCTGTACAAATTAAAATTTGTGGAAAATACAACTTGAACTCTGACAACATATATATAAATGATTTCAAACTGTTTAGCTCATAGGGTTCATGAATGTAAGTTCAATTAAATAATGAAAAAGAGTAAAACTTGATAAATCTATACTTACAAACAAATATTGCTGAAGGAGGTTGCAATTTTAGTTGCAATGAATTTGACATCCATGTTTCTTTCTAAATATAGTAACATTAATGCAAACATGCCTTTCCAAGTCATTGTTAACTTTCCTACATTTTGACGATTTACTTCTATCATATCATAGAATCCACTTAGCTTTGTACTCTGTAACAGAAAGAGACATCTATGGATATACTTAGTTATATTGAGGATTCATTTATTTTCTTGTGTACCAATTTTGGAAGATTATAGAAAACTTGCATTAACTTGCATTTTCATGGATATATGATTACATGGTTTTGCCAAAGTCTGCAAACAATGCTATAGAAAATTTGTAATGAGTTCCTAAATTCCTGGTCCCTCCTATACTCACAAAATTTGGTATTCAAAAATTAATAATGAATGTACATTAGATACTTTAAAATTTTTCCTAAACTTGCTATACTATATTTTTTCATTACAACTATCTTTAGTTTGGTATAATCAAACCATTTTTTTCTTTTTTTCAAATTGTGTTTAATCAGTTGGTTGTTCATTTAATGTTAAATCATAACTAAAATATTTTGATTTACAATTTATGAATATCAACATCATCTAAAGAAGTGGTTTTTACTTTTATCATATATGATCTAGATAGGCAAAAGGGAGGTTTGTTAGAATATAAAACTAGATTACCCTACCATATTTGTGCCTGTACCAAGCTATCTGCAAAATGTGTTGTTCATTATTTGTTTTTGTTGGTAAGTCTGTTTTCAGAGGAGGTGGTTAGTGTGGTCTGTTGTATTGTCTAGTAGTTTTGGTAGTTATGTAACACTGATCCTTTTTATACATTATTAATAAATAATATAGACAGAAATATTTGTAAGAGTGAAATACAAAAAAAATCTGGTATCCATAACAATCAATGAATTAGTAATCCGAGTTTAATATTGACATAAACTTTTCGTGTTTTGAAACCATGATATCTCTTCATATTACAGTCAAGGGTGTAACTTGAATACGTTATTAGAGAAAAATAACATACATGTGTTATTACAGATACTTTCTCTTAATCTGTAGTAACATATGTTTGTTATCAGTTAAATGTACCATAATAATTTTTATTTTCAGTGGGCACTTGGGAATTCTTGAAACTTGCGCAGTAACTTAATACGTAACCTTGAAAACTAATTTTCCAATTCAATTAATACATTTTTGATCAACCATGGTAAATCAATGAGACAAGGCTTTTAAGTGATAACTTAGCTGTAATAACAAAGCTTAGTTATTACAGGCATTTAACTTTTTACATGAGACACTTGGGAATGACAAGGAAGCTTGCGCAGAACCTCATTACATGCTCTTATCATTATTTATTACAATAAATTAAAATACTTTGTGATATATGTAGGAGAAAAGGCTTTGAAGAGATGTAGAGAAGCTGTAATAACACCCTTTAGTTATTACAGGCATATTTTTTCTGTAATAACATGGGTGTGTTATGCATGATTGGCAAACTATGGGCTGTTATGTCTTTCTAAAGTTTAATATACATAAAGACAATTATAATATCAATAGAACTAGTACATAATTTAACAAAATAAAGGATGTATAATGCCCCTTTGAAACATGTAACATACATATGTTATCACAGATTTTAGATTTTTAGCCCTCAATAACAAATGTATGTTATTTTTCTCTAATAACTTATTTAAGTTAGACCCTTGACTGTATAAGATATACCTGCAAACAATTTGAAACAAATCAGGCTTCCTAAATATCCTATTAACAATAAAGGGGGTTGATAAAAAAAACTATCTTTAAGCCACTCCACCTAACCCAAAAATCCCAGGCAGCATGACAATTTAAATTTTACCTGCTTGTAAATTTACCTGTGAATAAAGTGGACACAATGAATAAATGTAATGATACCTGGGATACTTAGGGGGTTTCATCAATCAGAACGTTACTTCATAGTGTTCCAATATAAATACAATTGTGTGTATCGAATATTTGTGTGTGAATGAGAACATTGATGACCCCTACCATAGAGGAGCTTAAAAAACATGCTACAACCTTAAAGCATAATAGAAGAATAAAATTATGAGGAAACTGAATATTATTTTAACTCAATTGCAATGTTCCACTTCATTTCTAAACTATGACCTTTTCAAAATTAACATTATACTGGATCCTTCCTGTCAGTGTGGGTCTGATATTGAGGATGTTCATCATTTTTTTTTTTCGTTTGCCCAAAATAGCTACATGTAGAGAAATTTTACTCAATAATCTTAATTGACTTACCGAAAACTTTGTTTTAGGTACTAAACTGTTAACTTGCAAAGACTTCGAATTTTCCAATGAACAAAATCTCCTAATTTTCAAACATGTTCAAGATTTTATTAAAAGGTCAAACAGATTTCTAGTACCTTCATAAAGCGTTATTGATACTGGCACGGACGATCATCTCCATCAAAAACATTAGTCAACATCACAGAAAAATATGATTTGCTTCTTTTTATTTTCTTCTTTTTTATTTATAGTTCTTATAATATCTAATGAATCTGTTTGTTTTACAAGCATGCTCATAATATCATTATTGTCTATCTACCTATATTGTAATATGGAGAAGACTTCATAAGTATGATTTACTTGTGTCTCATCTATTTTGCTTAGATTTAGCAAATAAAATTGGTTTAAACTAAACGATAAAATAATGTTAAACTTACAACATCCTCTACATCAGCTGTTAGAGCTAAACAAAGAAATAAAGTGGTGAAATTGTTTAGTCCTGTCTCTGTTAATTCTTGTATTCTTCTCTGGTGAAATTTGGAATATATTCTATATAGAAACATTAGGAATTACTATTATATACAATCACAATAATAAAATATACTTAATTGAAAAACCCAAACACTAGTCATAAGAATATGTCCATAAATATTTTTATATCCCCGCCTCTCAAATTTTTGGCATTCAGCATTCCTGATGAAGGTAAATGTAAAAAAAGCACTTCAGACACAACAACGAAGTAAATTGTTTTGTTTTTTTTTTCGTTTGCAGTAACTGCTTTCATATCATAGTAGGACCTATTCTTTCAATTGTACTTGTCTTTTTGTTTTTTTAACTGTACACCAGGAGTTTTTGTGGGAAAATTACTCGAAAATCACCTTAACATCATCACTCAAGACTGTTTGCAAAGGAAAGAAAACAAGAGGCTCTCAAGAGCCTGAATCGCTCACCTGTATTTCAGAGGAGAAGATTTTTAAATGTTAGCAAACTTGATGAACAAATTGTGTAACATTGTCTTTAAAGGGCAATAACTCCTTAAGGGGTCAATTGACAATTTTGGTCATATTAACTTTTTTGTAGATCTTATTTTGCTGAACATTACTGCTGCTTACAGTTGATATATATCTATAATAATATTCAAAATAATAACAAAAAACTGCAAAATTTTGTTAAAACTACCAATTCGGTGGCAGCAACCCAACAATGGGTTGTTCGATTCGTCTGATAATTTCAAGGCCGATAGATCTTGACCAATTAAACAATTTTACTCCATGTCACATTTGCTCTAAAAGATTTAGTTTTTGAGATATAAGCCAAAAACTGCATTTGACCCTTATGTTCTATTTTTAGCCATGGTGGCCATGTTTGTCTATGGATACAAACTTCGGATACAATTTATAAACAAGATACCCTAATGAACATTTATTTAAATTTTGAAGGTAATTGGCCCAGTAGTTTCAGAGGAGAAGATTTTTGAAATAGTTTACGATGACAGATGACGACAGACAACAACAGAGACGACAGACGACGGACAAGGACAGACGCCAAGTGATGGCATAAGCTCACATGGGGCCCTTTGGGCCCCGGTGAGCTAAAAATTCAATAATGCAGCCAATGTTAAATATATGAAGTTATAATCTTAATCAAACGCATACTCTATAAGTAAATAAAAAAGCATCCTGTTATTCAGATTATTATATTGGAATAATATGTTTTGATTTATGGTAAAAAAAAAAAACATGCACTTCAGGACCTCAGGTATTATCTGACTAAACTATACTACAACTGTTGTTACAAAGAAGAGGGCCAAAGGACCTTTTTGAGGAATTTGGGATTGAGCAGTTTAATTCATGGCAATTCAAGAATAGAAAGTTTAATCGTCAGGAATTCAGAATTCAGAATTTAATTAAATTGTGATGCAAGATAGGACACATTATTCAGGATTTGGCATTTATTTTCCTAGGAATTTGGGATGACACTCCCTCCTACCCCCTCAAAGAATAGTGATGTGGAAAAGCATTAAATAAGAGGTTACCTCCCCTTCATCTGTTTCCACTCCTGCATGGAATGTGTTTCTACTAATCGTCTTAGGTGATTTCCCAACAGTCCTAGGTACAACTGATAACTTGTCTCATTCTGTTTACTAGAAAATAAAATGGGTTTGTGAAGTCTTTGACCTTCAGTGAATTCAAGATCAAATTGTCCAATTCTGTTTACTAAAAAGTAAAAATGGATTTGTGTTGCATTAAATTTGAAGTGCATTTAAGATCAAATTTAGTTTGGGTAAAATTGAACTATTGACACAGCTATATATCTCTTACCGTTTAACATGAAAATAAAGAACATATATTGAATGAACTACCATATTGTAACAGCATTCAGTAGAAAATAACTTTTTATTAGAACCTAGCCGAATGAAGTTTTTAATTCTTTTATACATAATGAATAAAACAGCATTTGATCGAATCTAATATTTCAAATACTTGATTTAACTCTGGACTGATTTGTGAAGATACAAATAATAACTAAAATGTTCTAGAAAATCACTATCATACTGACGTTGCTTTTTGGCCAGAACTGTACTTTTTACATTTTTCTAGAAGGTCTACTGCTGTTTTGCTGAAAAGTATATATATTCTATCAATAACTTTATTCAAGCAGTTAGTAAAATAATGTACATTTATAACAATAAAAAACAAACTGTTGACACAGAGATATGTCTCGCCTGTCAGCATAAAATTAAGAAAAAGACAATCTGATGGACAGCAACATGGTTTATTAATTCACTCGCTGGGCATTTATCTAGTGGGCAGGGCCTCAAAATAGTCGTCCAACTGATATGTACTGATAGTATCTTTATACAAAATATCAATAATCTATTACAAGCAGTTCTTATCAAACAAACTTAAGCAGAAAACTTAATATTGAAAATTGCTAATTAATTCAAAGTCACTAGACCATGACTGAGGGGGCAGGGCCTCAAAATAGTCTAAAACTGCTATGTACAGATAGTAATGTGACTTCATACAGAATATCATTGATCTATCACAAGCAGATCCTATCAAACTAACTTAAGCAGAAAACGTAATATTGAAAATTGCTAGTTAATTCAAAGTCACTGGACCATGACCTAGTTGTCAAAATGATATGTACTGATGGTAATGCAACTTCATCTTAAATATCAATGATCTTTCACAAGTAGTTCCTATCAAACTAACTTGAGCAGAAAACTTAACAAATTGTTGACGCTGTCGTCACCACAGCCATTACCATGGCTGGAAAAACAATCCCATGTCTTGCTTTCCGCGATTTTCGTCACAGGTGAGACAAAATCCATCAATTGATCTTTAAACATTGGTCAAGATGATAAACAGAAAATATGACATTATTTCTTCAACATAGTTACAGCTTGTTTTCTTATTGAATCTGATATAACTGTTTTTTGTAAATATCATACATCATCTTTATCTCCTTATCAAAGTTTTTTTCTTATTATCTGGCGATGACTGATTGTATTTGAAGGAATTCCTCTTAAGTAATTTTCTGGTAACCCGTTGTTCTGCAAGGTTTATGATTTGAGCTCATAAATTGAAGACAAAAATTGTTCCAATATTCCTTAGGGTTCAGTAAAAGTGTCCATTCCAAATTTAAATTTTTTTTAAATCATGAAGAACTCCCAAGTTATCACCCTGTATCACAAATACTTTATTCTCAAATGACCTAGTTTGGCAAAAAAAAATATGCCATAATGGCTTTTAAAGGTTCATTCCAAAAATACCTTGAAGACCTCATATATAACAATTATCAATATGTCAGTATTATTCCTTGGTATATTTTTTTTTTACAGAATATCCTAAGACAACTATCTAAAATCAATATACACCCACACTTCATATCCCTTTCTTGATATTCTGAAATTTTTTTAATATCTGACTACCAAGTCAGGAGCCTATAATTCAGTGGTTGTCGTTTGTTGCTGCATATCATATTTGTTTTTTGTTCATTGTTTTTTATAAAAATCAGGCCGTTAGATTTCTCATTTGAATTGTTTCACATTTGTCATTTCTGGGCCTTTTATAGCTGACTATGTGGTATTGGTTTTGCTCATTGTTGAAGGCTGTATGGTGCCTCTAGTTGTAAACTTCTATGTCATTTGGTCTCTTGTGGAGAACTGTCTCATTGGCAATAATACCACATCTTATTTTAATATGTTATCAATTAAGACTAGAGAAGACATCCTGGTCGCAATTTTTGACAAGTATGTAAAATTTCAACATATTGAACAAACAAAATTTACATTGAGAGGAAAAAAAATCAATATATCATGTTCAAAGAGTAAAAAATACCTTTTTATTCAAAAAATATATGATAGCGTTTAAGTATAGGAAAGTTGAGGCATTAATACAATCAACACTGCATTCAGTTTTCATTATACACACCTGACTGTCTGTAAACTGTCTATTGATACTGTTTTCAACTGGAATGTACTGTTCTGAAAGAAAAAAAAACAATGTAAACTGTGAGAATGATACCCTTGCTATAAGTATTCAGTACTACCAAATACCAATTTGCAAAAGGCTTTGATTTTTGTTTGCGAGAAAATTGTGACAAATAATTCAGGGGACGGACTGATGGACATACTGAAACATGGGCATAAAACAGACAAGTGTAAACCAGTAACCTCAGCCCCCTACCCCCTCCTTCTGCGGAGCAAGGTATAATTCTACGACAAAGGCACTGACAATTAGGTTTTTATCTTTCTGTGATTTAACCTGTTTTAAATGTGATATCATTATGGTCTGCTTTGTATTTGAATGACATGCTGAGTTTAATTTTCAAAACATTACACCACAAGGTAACAGTCTTTTAGAAGACATGTTTCATACTGTATTTATCATTAATATCCTTTTTCATACACAACATGTAGATATTTTTCTTTTGGAAAGGATTACACTGTTCTATGCCAGCATTGAAATTTGTGATATTTTATTTTTGAACTTCCCAGAATTATTATTAATTATCCACAACAGGTAATTAAACTGTATTAATGCTCCCAGACATTTAGATTGTAAATGATGTACGAGGCTTTACAGATTAATCTCCGCCCTGATCATCAATTAAAACACTTTAATGGTCAACCAAATGAAATTTTATGACAGCAATGACTAACCATTGGCCTTTTCTTTCCATGTTTAACAACTTCTTATAGACTTATTACCAGGTTTGTAATAACATGAGCAACTCTACGAGTGCCACATGTGAAGCAGGATCGGCTTACCCTTCCAGAGCACCTGAGATCACCCCCAGTTTTTGATGGGGTTCGAGTTGCTCAGTCTATAGTTTTCTACGTTGTGTATTATTGTTTGTGTGTTAATCTTTTTCCTTTTTAGCCATGTCGTTGTCAGTTTATTTTTTACTTATGAATTTGAATGTCCCTTTGGTATCTTTCGCCTCTCTTTTATACCATTTTAAATTTTACATCTTACCATTCGTTTGTAGAAATAATCCCAAAATATAACTAGGAGGTTTATATTTGGTTCCCAAATTGTACATAACTGCTGACAACATCTTAAATAAAACCGCAGGTCTAATTCATTAACTTCTCCCTAAAAAAATACTTGGATTGTAACTTATCATAAAAACATTTACATTGACAATTTCATAAAAAGAAAAAAACACAAATAATGTAAATTCCATGATAGAAAAACGTTTACAAGTAGAGATGCAGTAAAAAGTAGATTGATGCCAACACTAGCTACTAGATTAAAAGAGCTTACAACTTGTGAAGCTAATTTTACTTATCAGACTACAAATTTCATAAAGTATAAATTTAAAATACTGTAGATTCTTTTTTTTCCAAGGATACCAATTTTCATTGATTGAAGAAAATTGTATATTCGTGGATATTTGATTTCATGGACTTGCCTAAGTCTGTATACAAGACTGAATAAGACAGGAACATTTAAATATTTGGTTTACCTTTAAACATGAAATCCACACCATATTTAAGACCCTGACCACTCTTCAAATATATTTTTTTATTTTACCTATAATTCTTACAAAACTTGAAACAAAATGCAACCACAGATATTTGATTAATTTGAGTACCTCCCATTCCCCAATTCCTCCCCCACATGATTAATTATGGCTCAAACCTTAAAGAAAACTTTACAAGTTTAATCAGTTAATCAGAATCTCTGCAGATGAGAAGAGCAAATTCAAATATTCCTGCAGAAGTAGGTTCGGCAAAGTCAACACAAAAAAGAAATAATCTCAAACCCTGAACCATTACTTAAATTACTTAACAACTCACCTTATTAACAACTTTCTTTATTACAGCATTTACATCATAATAATTACTTGCTGTTACAATCTAAAACAAATACAACTAATAGATATAAGAAAGTATTAAGATGGTATTATAAAACATATACTCATAACATTTGTTTCTGGAATACACTCTCTTAAGAACAAATTTTTGGGGAGCTATATACATTAAACATAAACAAGAATGTGTCCATAGTACACGGATGCCCCACTCGCGCTATCATTTTCTATGTTCAGTGGACCGTGAAAGTGGGGTCAAAACTCTAGTTTGGCATTAAAATTAGAAAGATCATTTCATAGGTAACATGTGTACTAAGTTTCAAGTTGATTGGACTTCAACTTCATCAAAAACTACCTTAACCAAAAACTTTAACCGGAAGCGGGACAGACGAATGAACGGACGGACCGATGGACGAACGGACAGACAGAGGTAAAACAGTATACCCCACTTTTTTAAAGCTGGGGTATGATTAATGGCTTAAGTACATCACTACTTCTTATATTTCTTACTTTATCATCCTCATTGCCTCTCACCACTATGGCCACATTGGTTATCATCCAGATACAGAATTTACTGTTATCATTCAAAGTTAGGTTATCTACAGGTGGGTACATGTATACATCACTGTCTGAAATATACAAAACAAATATTTATGTGGAGGGATGATTTCATATGGAAGGTTGATTTTTTACTGCATTATGTCCATTGACAAATATTACATGCATATTCATAATAATATAATTAATATAATCTCTATGTCCAAAGGAATACAGCTACCAAGAAAGATATGTGTCCCTACTTGTACATTATTCTATTAAACTACAAGTCTACTAGTCTATGCCCTTAATCCTTAATGCTGTGTGTTTAGTAGAAAATATATTTTTTATGACCATAACAGCCATTTAATGTGACTTACGGTATAATTCGTAAAATATAAATGATAGGCCAAGCATACAAAACTTTAATCATATTAAACCTACAGCTTGAAATACTATTCCATTGGTTTAATAAAGAAAGTCCAATCTGAATACAGTTTGATGGATGTTTATACATGTATTTAAAAGACACATTTTAAGCAGGTTTTTCATTACCTATTTCGACATCTTCTGGTAATTTAATTTCAGCTCCCAACAAAGTCTGTATCACTTCATGTAAGTTCACCCAAAAAGACTGCAACAGATAGATAAAATACTTTTTTGGAACTGAAAAAACTTCTTAAACATACAGTTTCCTCACAACTGCTTCCTCAAAATGATTAAATAACCATTACATGCTTTTATTTTGTATTTTCAAGGTTTATGGTATCAATATTGGTAAATTATCCCTGACATAATATAAATATAAATTGAACTCTAAAGCAGGTGCAATATACTTGGGATAGTATTCCCCTATATTTTTACAACCCTATAATAAATACATATACCTCTATGTCAGGAGCCTGTCTGTCACTCAATGGTTTTCGTTGGTTACTTTCTGTCTGTTATATTTGTTTTTTGTTTTGTCATAAATCAGGCATTTAATTTTTTTGTTGGAATTGTTTTACGTTTGTCATGTTGGGGCCTTTGATATATAGTGGATATTACTGTATGGGTTTGCTCATTGTTGAAGGACATACAGTGACCTATATATAGCTATAGTTGCTTGAATCTGCTTCATTAAGAATCTGTTGAATAGTTGTCTCATTGACAATCATACCACATCTCTTTATTTAATACAAGACTTTAACCGTACTCCTAACAACAAAATTATTATATTTAAATTTACCTGTGTATGTTATTTAATTTAACAACATTTTGTCCAAGGTTACAACTTTTTTTTATTAAATATTGTATTTATCTTAGCTTGTGTCATAGATCAAACTTATTCGTTCAGCGTATTTTTACCTGTTTTTGTTTATATGTCTTTTGATCAAGTTAAGCCATTTCAATTGATATTTTATAATGTGTCTTTTTATTTCGTAATGTTACACTACTGTTTCAGGTATCAGGTGAAGGTTGGGGCCTGTTAAAACGTTTAAACCTGCTGCATTTTTATGCACCTGTCCTAAGTCAGGAGCCTATTGTTCAGTGGTTTTTGTTTGTTTATGTGGCTCATAAGTGTTTCTCGTTTTTTATATAGATTAGACTGTTGGTTTTCTTGTTTAAATTGTTTTACATTGGTCATTTTTGGGGCCTTTATAGCATGCTGTTAGGTGTTAGCTTATAGCCAAGGCTCCTTGTTGAAGGCCATACTTTGACCTATAATTGTTTACTTTTTACACATTGTGACTTGGATGGATAGTTGTCTCATTGGCACTCATACCACATCTTCTTACTTATATTTAAGACCATCTATTTCATTTCTCTGTATTACTTTACTTTTACATAATCACTAACATGACGTAGTTACTCCTTAACTGTGCTTTATGGTTCGGCAAACATGCCAATAGATACCAAATGTCCTGTACACAACTACAGTCAAAAGGAGAACTGTGAATGAAGTCCTGACTCTGCTTCTAAAACAAATAATATATCTACTTATTACCTCCCCTTTATGGTTCAGCAGACAAGCCAATAACTTCCACATGTCCTGTACACAGCTACAGTCAAAAGGAGAACTGTGAATTAAGTCTTGACTGTTCTTCTAAAAAAAAAAAAAAAAAGTACTTTTTAAAGAACTTAACACTAAACCATTTCATGTAAATTCTTAAGTGTTTCACAATCTAATTTTTTTTTTAAATTAACGTTTCATTTTTTTCATGAATAAATGTTGATATTAGAATTCATTACTGCAAAGCTTCACAATTTGTTAAAAAGTGTCTGATAGATCATAAAATACCAATTATTTATCTCAAGTTCAAGTATTTATACTATAGCATGTTTGCAGGAAGCTCATATCTGTAATTGTCTAACATAATGTGACGAAAATTTCATACATGGACGTTATGTGTTAGAATATATAAGTAGTTGGTAAACCGGAAATTGAGTAGCAATGAAACTGAAAAATGCATATCATATATAGTATGCCAACATTAGACATGAAACTAACTGAACAGACATATGGATGGACTGACAGATGAATGGAGAGACAGGGGTAAAAAAGAAAACCTCCCCAGCGTCACAGTGGGGGTATAACAGGTCATTGTACTAACTTCAACAATGAAGCCAATACTGTATGGCAAGCTATCAATGGTTTAATCCAAAGAAAGTAATATACGTTATCTAGTGTGACACAGAGAAGAGTTTGAAATATAGCTAGCTAAGCAACCAGTGGCTACAGGTATTAAATTAAGTGGATGCAGTCTTTACTCTCAAAATGTAGGAAACTCCACTTTTTTACATACCTTCTGGAAATTTGAGATTGCTATGGCTATAAGTTCCCATACTACAATCTGTACCATCTGAGGCAGCAGTGACCTACTTTCAACATCATCAGAACTGTAACTAGAACTTATTTTCTTCAGTGGTAAAGAATCTACATGTGAATAAATATATTCTATCAAAAGTTTGCTAACTAACAACAAGTTTATACACTGAGTTCAACAATGGTAGAGGTTGTAAATTCTTTTCAGTGTAAGCACTAAATCATTATCTTTTAAGTGGTAAGATCTTTCAGTTTTGATTTCTACAAAATAAAGCAACTACAGATGCTATTGTAGGTATAAATTAAAGGACTATGTGAATTTTGTTGAAAATGAAAAAAAAATTGTGATGGTTTACAGCTCTCAACTTAGACTACTAAAACTCGCCTGGGCTACCTTAAAAGTCAACAGGCGACCTAAATTTCACTGTTTGGTGGCAAATTGGCAAACATAACTTTTTGAACCTGGCAACTGTAAAAAATCAAAGCACTGTAAGCGCTATAGGCAGTTAATCAAAAATATGATGAAAACTGTGGCAGTGTTGCTTAAATTGTCATAGCTTGTTTTATCTCATTTTTCAGATTTGTTTTTTGTCATGTTTAACCCTGCCAGCTTACGTGTGTGTCTGTCCGAAGTCATTCAGTGGTTGTCATTTGTTGCTGTATATCATATTTGTTTTTCATTATTGATTTGTACATAAATCAGGATGCTGGTTTGCTTGTTGGAATTGTTTTACATTTGTCATTTCAAGGCAATTGACAGCTTCATTCTATGTGGTATGAGTTTTGCTCATTGTTACAGGCCGTATGTGACATACAGATGCTTATTTCTATCAACTTCTCAATACCCTGATGAATGAATTTAACTTATGCAGCAATAATGTCGTCAGAATTAAGGTTTTATACAGTGGTGTATAGTTTAGTTTCCATATGTACTAAGAGTTTTCATATGCCACATTAGCATTTTTAGTCAGATCAGCAGGTGTCAATCCTTACAAAAACTGATTCAATAATACTGGGAACAATGTGAGGTGGTGTAATTTTATTGTTTATCATGCATATATCATATTACACAAAATGATTATATCGTTGGGCTAGAAATGCTTTTAATTTTCTTTTACATGATTATTGTACTTCTAAGTGTCCAACCTATTACATTTACATCAAATTTCATACAAATATTGTGTCTGTCTTTTTTAATATGTTTATATTCTTCATTTCTTACATACTTTATAAAACATATTTCATGTATCTGCACATTGTATCATCATTATGTATATGTATTCAAACTATCTTTATATAACTGATACCTGGGTTACCGTAACTACTTGTATATATATATATTAATAGTGTGCATATTATACGATGTATCTCCCACATTTTATAGTAACAGTTGCACAGACATATCATTAGACAGCCTCTAAAAATAACTGGACGGTTACAGTAAACTCCATGAAAATAATATTCATGTGTTGTAACCCCTGGCAATTTTGTAAAAATTCCTGTCAGAAATCTGAACCAAAATTTGTCTGACTAGTCGTCATATGATAAGACCTAGTAAAAAGTTTCATAGTTCATGTACTTCGATCATATCTGTAGATAAACATGTCATACATGTATAACTATATTTAAAACATCAAAAAGGTCTAGAATTTCATAGCTGTCATGGAATTATTATGATGACTAGTCAATGCAGCTACTAGATAGTATCATGTATTGTACATGCATGTCTTGTCACTTCTAGGATATTAAAGCCAAGAATTGGAATCTAGCTAAAATAAAAACAAATACAAATATTTATATTGTTTATTTAGAATATACAATCATGATAAATTATATTTACACAAGTTTTGTCAATTAATTTGAAAAGAAATCATTATGGGATCATGGCATAGGCGGATCCAGGGGGGGGGGGGGCTCTGGCCCCCCTTTTGTGGGAAAAATTTGGTTGATTATATAGGGAATCACTGAAGCATGACAGGAGCGGAGCGCCCCCCCCCCCTTATGAAAAGTTCTGGATCCGCCACTGCATGGGATATTCTTTTTTTAGGGTCAGATCAAAGTTTGATTTTCGACAAAATAAAAAAGATGAGCAGTTTGAGTGTCAGAGAGATAAAATTATGTTAAATTTTATTTCTTTCATTCAATTTTATACATACAATGAACATGTCATTTAATATAGTATGCTCTAGTCTGCCTCTGTTGTAAGTTGACACATGGTCTCTGATAGGTCTATCCGACAGAATTATATTGTGAATTCTAAAATTTAGTGGTTAATGTTGATTTGAGTTGACTTTTAGTGGTATAAGTTAAATGGCATGGTACAACTTTGCAATAGTGTGCATTGACTTGCTTCCCTGTGGAGAACACTGAGTTTGTTCAATTTAAGTTCTACAGTACAAAATGTATGACACAAATCAGACAATCAAACTATAACAGGAGTCAAAGGTGAGGTCTGATTGACCTGCCTTTAGTAAATGTAAATGACCCGCCCCCTCCAGGTCCATGATGTTACTCGAGATCTATATCAATATTGGAATAAATAAACGGTTGGTAAAACATTCTTGGACTTTACACTTCTTGAAAGATATATCTTCTTTAAAATGGGCCATAGATGAAGATTTTTTTAGGCCCAGATTGGCCAGAAATAAAAAAGTTCTGGTTTAGAAAAAATATCGTAAACATTGAAATGTCAAAGTCTGACCACATGCACTTGTTTCTTTGCATGGGAAGACCCAATATCAACGTATATTTTGAGCTCCTAAATCTTCCCATGGATATAAACAAGTGCCTGAGAGTAGGACACTGGCTTCATGTCAAGATCAAGGTGATCTAGACCGAATTCTTTTATCCGCATATATTTCCTATATTCACATTTGCTCTTTTTTGATTCTCGCTGATTTTATACATTTTTCGGACATCCGTACCTGTATACAGTGATATATGAATGGGGTTTCTACATTTTCTTGTGACTTTCTATTATCACACGATCTTTCTGAGTCTAAAATCCATATACATGTATATCACATACTACTGTCAGTCTCGGCAAGTTTGACATATTTACAAGGTCTCTTAGCGACAAGAAACGACAAGAAGCGTCAAGAAGTACGGACGGCTACTAAATGTAACATAATTTTAAACTTCACACAACAGAAAATAATCAACTGTAATTAATTGACTTTTCTATAAATTTATTATTCTAACAGTGTATAAACTTTCTTGTCTCTAATTTATCTTCTTATCGCAAATTCATTCTTCCTGTCGCTAAGTTTTATCTTCTTGTCGCTTATTGTCTCTACAATCTTCTTGTCGGTAATTAGTGAGACCTTCTTGATTTCCGGTTTTATTCAACAAGTGTAAACACCATGTTGGTGCATTACTTGACAAGGTCATTTATGTGAAAAACGGAGTAATACAAAAGAATGAAATCCAAATGTGAATACACAATTTATTAACACTCATCTCAAACAAAAAGAATATCATGATTAACAATAATTACCTTTCTATCATCAGAATCCTCTAAATTTAAAAGATACGTAAAATTCGTCTTCTAATTTGAAATTGCCGCCAACTTATTAATAGACTACTGACGTATTTAATACGTATCGACGACAAACAATATTCCTACGACTTTTGCCATTTGGGAAATGTAAACGACTTGTCTTTAGAGTTTTTCGACGATAAAATATTTCATACAATTGTTCTTTGACATCTTAGCCAAAAACACAGGGGAAAATAAACTACATACGAATTTCTATTGAGCACTACTTCCTATGTGCAACTTCAAAACTTTTGGGTTGTTCGACGATCATTTAAGGTTTTTCTGGTCATATTTTTTGTATTCCAGCATTAAAAGTATGAAAAAAGTGCCCAATTAGTTATTAATAACATATTAGCCAGCAATTTAATAACAATAGCACTTTTTTCGCGATTCAGTGGGAAGAACACAAATCTAGGGTGGTAGCATAAGGTAGCTTAACTGCCTAAAAAACGGTTTGGGGCAGATCCTGTTAGACGATTTTAAAAGATTTTAAGATTTAGATTTTAAAATACATTTCTTCTGCAGGATCAGCAATGCGCTTGCAAGTGGGTTGGTTTTAATATTCTCAAGCATGTATCGACTATGAGTTAAGGCAGCCATTGATACAACATAAAAATCTGCTAAACAAAGTATTAAATGTTGAAAAGTGAAGACATTGAAATGATTTGGTCACAATTTTTGTGGAGGAACAGAGATAAATATGTTGGCTATAGATGTTTAATCCGCTGTAAAGGATTAATTACGAAAAAACACCTCAAACACGAGAAAGGGGGCAAGATGAAGTTTTACCTAATGCCATTCTGTGGTGTTAAGGGATTTTGGTGCACAATGCAGTGTCTCAGTCTAGAAACAAGAGGCTCATAGGAAACTGTGTTGCTCAACAGATTAAAATATGCCTTATTGATGCTTGTTTTCACATTTTTCAACAGAATTATCAGGCTAATTAAGCTATCTTACAATATAACACTCAAAGTATAACAAATATGCACTAGATAGTAATAATAACACTATTTACCTATAAATTTATCTTCTAACAGACACAAGATTTCTAATGTATTCCAGTATAGGTCAAGGTTCAAGTGGAATCTGCTGTAATCACGTGATGACGTCTATAAATACAAGATATATTAATTAATTTTACAACTTTTTAAACATAAGCTCTTTTGGAATTTCAACACAAAAAGCTCTTTATGTAAAACATCTTTAAGACTTATATAGGCCTTCAATTATCTTTAACCTTATAAAGATAGTATTTATGGCTTTTGTCATAGCTGACATTATTGCACTCATAGAAAATGTGATCATTTCTCAGAATTATGTGAAGGTTAAAGTACTTACTGAGTGAGTGGATGATATCATATTGTTTATCCCTTGTTTAGAGATATCACTACCATGTTATACAGTTAGGAGAAACAGCTCAATTCATTCTACATACATACAAATAATTTATCAAAGGGCAATACCACTCACATTGTCAATTTTATTCAGTCAGTCAACATACCACAATATGAGATCAGGTGATAATACTCACAAATAGTGTGGTCATATTTCCCTTCACTCAGTCAGTTAACATACCATGATATAAGAGATGTTAATAATATTCACAGATAGTATGATGTCATTTTTCATATCACTTTGACGGGTAACATACCACGATATAAGAGAGGGTGCTAATACTCACAGATAGTGTGCTATCATATTTCATATCACGCAGTCAGTCAAGATACCACGATATACATGTAAGAGAGGGTAATAATATTCACGGACAGTGTGATGTCATTTTTCAAATCACTCTGACGGTCAACATACCATGATATAAGAGAGGGTGATAATACTCACAGATAGTGTGATGTCATATTTCATATCAGTCAGACGGTCAACATACATAACAACGCTGTGTAATAAGGTGACAATTTTTTGTATAATTTCTTCTTCCTCACCATTTAGATTCCTGGGTAACCTATCAATTATAAATATTAAAAATAATTACCGAAAAATATGACATCATTAACTAGAATCACAACATAAATGTCTCTACAAGTATATTTGTATTAAAAGTTAATCTGTCATATCTATATACATTCAACATCACATGCAAATTATTGCTTTTCCTAATATCTGAATGCATCAAATAACCAAACTACATCCCTCCCCAGATACAAAATTAAAACTTTATTGAGTCGATCCAGGATTAAGGAAAGACAGAAAAAAAATTAAAGCTAAATAACCTTTGGCACTAAATCACAACATCATTCATTTTTGTAAGGGGGGATAGCGGGGTCTCCCAATTTCTGTCACCACTTTTAAATGTATTGCTTCTGGGATTTAGATTACAAGATATATAATGACTTCAATGTTTTACTTTGTTTGTTTATAACATATAGTTTTTGTTACCAATTTAAATAAAATATTACCTGTATAAAAACTTTTTGAGAAATGAGTAAAATGTGATAATCTGTTCTCTACTACTGTAGTAATCTGTATCTGAAAAGAAGGAAAAAACTAATTTGGTTAAAAGAATCATTTTGTCACAAATAACTTTGAGATCTCACAAAACATGTTTAACCTTGCCTCATTTTTTGTGCCTGTCCCAAGTCAGGAACCTCTGGCCTTTGTTAGTCTTGTATGCTTTTTTAATTTTGGTTCATTTATATGTTTATGAGTTTAGTGTGATGTCCATTTTCGCTGAACTAGTATACATTAATGTTTAGGGTCAAGCTGTAGCCTGCCTTTGGGTGCAGGATTTTCTCGCTGTGTTGATGACCAATTGGAGGCTTTGGGCTGTTTTCTGCTCTTTGGTCAGATTGTTGTCTCTTTGACACATTCCCCATTTCCATTCTCAATTTTTTTTTTTTAAGTCTGTATTTAAAATCACAAACACCCTAGCTCATTTGCCAATGTCAATACACAAAGGGCAATAGATTGTGATTCACAATCAAACAAAAGAGCTGTCCAAGAATCTATTTCAACAAACAGTCAGTCAATAAAGTAATATCACAATTAGGCCTTGCTTTTACAGTCAACAGTTTCAAGACATATTAAACTGAAACGCAGTAAAATTATAAACAACAGATGATTATAATTCATTAAATGTACTATAATAATAATTATAAAAGTTTCTAAAGAATGCACAGAATATTTTAATGACAATCAGATGAAATTATTGTTATAAGTAAGAGCAATTTCATTGCTTGCAATTTATATAAGACAGATTGTAACAACATACTACCAGCATGTGCAGTAAATATTTTTTTGTAAGTAAGACACAGTCAAAGCATTGCTCGTTTTCAACACTACAGTTCTTGTAAGATTCTTCAATGATGAACTGACTGGTCTACACCTTACAATAATATCAAGATGGTCTCTGGTTTCCCCACTCAGATCTTATTTGCCTTGAATGGTTCTTATATTCACACTTATCGCAACTTTGACTTTTTACTCACAAAAAAAAATTTACAGTGCATACTGCTAGTAGGTTGTCACCATCTGTCTGTTATAAAGAGGTTTCAATCTGACTAAATTTTCATCATGAGATTTAGTTTTACACACAGCAAATCCATAATATTACCTGATTCCAGGTTTCCATGACAAATCTTTGAAATCAACTGTCTGAAAATAAATGTTATATTACATTAAGGGCTGTTCCAGATTTAAATGCATGCCATTGGATGGATGAGTGCACTTAAATTAATTAATGGTGGATGATTGCATTTTCTTTAGAATCTTGTAAGATTTATAAGTAAAATGAATATTTTATATTATGGGTGGTTGGGGTCTAAAAAAAATGCCTCCCATCCACCCAGGCTTTAAATCTCAAACAGCCCTAAGAAGATAAATATCATTTGTAATTTGGTGAATATCAATAAGGCAGTAAGATATACGACATACTGACATATATTATTTTATGTTGTCTTTGTTTATCTAATGAATAATTATGATTTCCTGAGTGTTTCATTGAATGATACGTATAAGAATATTATATGGCCCGAGAACACAGTTATTTTGTAGTGCATTTCTTTTAGACAATAAATTCAAATTAAAATAAAATGCTCCGCAGGGCGCAGCTTGATACGACCGCAGAGGTCGAACCCTGAACAGTTGGGGCAAGTATGGACACAACATTCAAGCTTGATACAGCTCTGAATTTGGATTGTGATTAAATATTTGACACAGCATAGGTTTCTGACACAGAATGAATGTGGTCTAAGAACTTAAAAATTTTAAATTGGACATTCACCTATTATGGTCCAATATCCAAAATCTAAATACATGGTTAGATTCAGCATATCAAAGAACCCCAAGAATTCAATTTTTGATGAAATCAAACAAAGTTTAATTTTGGACCCTTTTGATCTCAATGTGGACAAAGTTGATAACGGGGCCCAAAAATCAAAAATCTAAATACATGGTTAGATTCAGCATATCAAAGAACCCCATATATATTCAATTTTTGTTGAAATCAAACAAAGTTTAATTTTGGACCCCGATTTGGACCAACTTGAAAACTGGGCCCATAATCAAAAATCTAAACACATGTTTAGATTCAGCATATCAAAGAACCCTAAAAATTCAATTTTTGTTAAAATCAAACTAAGTTTAATTTTGGACCCTTTGGACCTTTATGTAGACCAATTTGAAAACGGAACCAAAATTAAGAATCTAAATACACGGTTAGATTCGGCATATCAAAGAACCCCAATAATTCAATTTTTGATGAAATCAAACAAATTTAAATTTTGGACCCTTTGGACCTCAATGTGGACAAATTTAAAAACGGGGCCCAAAATCCAAAAACTTAATACACGGTTATATTCAGCATATGAAAGAACCCCATATATTCAATTTTTGTTGAAATCAAACAAAGTTAATTTTGGACCCCGATTTGGACCAACTTGAAAACTGGGCCCATAATCAAAAATCTAAATACATGGTTAGATTCAGCATATCAAAGAACCCCATATATATTCAATTTTTGTTGAAATCAAATAAAGTTTAATTTTGGACCCTTTGGACCTTTATGTAGACCAATTTGAAAACGGAACCAAACATTAAGAATCTAAATACATGGTTAGATTCGGCATATCGCAGAACCCCAATAATTCAATTTTTGATGAAATCAAACAAAGTTAAATTTTGGACCCTTTGGACCTCAATGTGGACCAATTTAAAAACAGGGCCCAAAATCCAAAAACTTAATACATGGTTAGATTCAGCATATTAAAGAACCCCAAGAATTCAAGAATAAAACCCCATTGAAATTGATCAAGAAATAAGCAATTTATACAAAGTATATTCTTTTGCACAATACTGTGCAATTGAATATTTCTTGCTATTGCGCAATACTGTACAATTGACAATTTCTTGCTATTGCGCAATATTGTGCTATTGGATATTTCTTGCTATTGCGCAATACTGTGCAATTGAAGATTTCTTGCTATTGCGCAATACTGTGCAATTGAAGATTTCTTGCTATTGTGCAATACTGTGCAATTGAAAATTTCTTGCTATTGCACAATACTTATTGTATAATAATTTACACATCCTGTTTGGTGTGTATTTCCTACCATATCATTATTATTTGCTTTTAAATATAAATCAGAAATAACCAACTTAAAATGGAAAATTTTAAAAGAAAAAAAAAAGGAAAAAAAGAAGAAAAAAGAAACCCCCCCCCCCCCAAATTTTTTGAACCCCCTTATGATTCATCACCCCCAAACTCAATCCCAGCCTTCCCTTTGTGGTATGGTATCTTGCAGTACAATTTCAGAGAGATCCATACAATTGAACACAAGTTATTGTCTGGAAACTAGAAAAATGCTTATTTTTGGCCCCTTTTTGGCCCCCAATTCCTAAACGTTTCGGGCAATTACCCCCAAACTCAATTCCAGCTTTCCCTTTGTGATATGGAACCTTGTAGTACAATTTAAGAAATATCCAAACACTTACACACAAGTAATTGTCATGAAACTAGAAAAATGCTTGTTTTTTGCCCCTTTTTTGGCCCCTAATTCCTAAAATTTTGAGGCAATTACCCCCAAAATCAATTACAGCCTTCCCTATGTGATATGGAACCTTGTGGTACAATGTCAGAGAGATCCATACACTTACACACAAGTTATTGTCTGGAAGTTACAAAAATGCTTATTTTTGGCCCCTTTTTGGCCCCCAATTCCTTAACTGTTGGTACCATAACCCCCAAAATCAATCCCAACCTTCCTTTCGTGGTATTGAACCTTATGGTAAAATTTCATGGAGATCCATTAACTTAAACTAAAGTTAGAGTGCGAAAACCAATGCGTCTTCGGACGACGACGACGACGCCAACGTCATACCAATATACGACCAAAAAATTTTGAATTTTTGCGGTCATATAAAAATCGCACCTGCTCTATCTCAAAAAGATTTTTACAGTGTAGTGTACTACTATTGATACAAATAATATCAAAATTATAGAAACTTCTACCAGCTCTAACTCAAAATATTGACAATTCTGTGTTAAGGGGGGCTAAAATTCAGTTTGACAGCTTCCGACATTCTAATTTTTGACCTTTTTTAACTGGACCAAATCACTACTTAACATAAAGATTCAGCACCCAAATTTTTTTAACATGTAATTTCATCCCCTTACTTAATATTTCATGCATAAAATTTCAAGAAATAAATTGGGAAAGTGTATCAAAAAAAAATGCAAGTTATACACTGTTCACACTAGGGACGATAACTGTGTCCTTGGACCTAATAGGATAGAAAGACTTGACCAATTTTGATAAAACTTTGCATGACCTAAGCTTAGGCAATTTTAAGATAGTTGGCCAAGTTTCATGGACATAGGATATATATTATAGAAACTAGGGCCATTTTAATATTGAAATTTGGATGTTTATTTTTGACGTTTAAATCAAATATTTTCAACTGTCAAGATTTTGGCCTAAAAAATTTAAATATTGCAAAAATTTGTTTTTTAAATACTCTTGAATTTAATATAATAAGTATTAAAAGCAACGGAACACTCATTTGATTTATCAGATTTATTACAGTTATTCAAAAGTCAAATTTATATGAGCCTGTGCCTGAAAATAGAGATTTTCGAATTAAGGGAAGCCTTACATAAACATGCATTTTTTTCAACCAATTTGAAGTTTTTGAAGGTTTTTAACCATACATTATTGTTCCATATATATTAAATGTACTTTAAATGTAAAGAAAAGTTACAAAAAGCATACTACATGAGTATGAAAATGGTCTTAGGCCATGTAAGACTGAGAATTATTTAGAGTCGATTTAGGCTGTAGCCCATATTTACATATAAAAATGCACACAGAGGCTATAAGGAAGTGAAATTTGTTACTTTTTGCTCATTTCTATGCTAAGATGTCATGATACAAGAAGTCTAATTGCAAAAGGACTCTTGAATTCAACTTTTTTTTGCAGACAGTATGGTCTGATGACCAGTTTTTCACTTTTCAATGGAAAACTTGCATGTAGTTTTAGTCTCATTTGGCATATATTTGAACCACTTACTATCCTAAAGAAGAAAATTATGGTAGCATATGAAATGAATAGGGTGTACTGATCATTGTAAAGTGTTTTTTTTACAGATTTAGTGAAATACTTGTGACGGACTACAGATTTTATGTACAAAGCTCTTCACATTTCACATACATCAAACAGGCCGTTTAACCAGGGACATAAATACAAATATTCTGCACATTTTTTCTGTGATAATCTACTTTTCTCTAGATTCCGAGTTCACAAATGGTTAATTAAATTTGATTAAAGCATAGAAACACAAATATCAGGAACATAAAAAGCTGTCAGATAGAAAGTCAGCATGGCTCTTAGGCATAAAATGGAAACTGCTTTAAAATGCTTATTTTAGCCGTATAATGCCAAAATGGGACATTTTAACAGAATTTCTGTCAAACAAAGATGTAAATCCTTTACTTTTATTGAGTTTGACAAATTGAAACCAGAAAACCATTCAGGAAAGTTGCCAAAGTACAGAATCTACATTTACGGAATTCATCTCTTAGGCCCGAGAACACAGTTATTTCGTAGTGCATTTCTTTTAGACAATAAATTCAAATTAAAAAAATCGCACCTGCTCTATCTCAAAAAGATTTTTACAGTGTAGTGTACTACTATTGATACAAATAATATCAAAATTATAGAAACTTCTACCAGCTCTAACTCAAAATATTGACAATTCTGTGTTAAGAGGGGCTAAAATTCAGTTTGACAGCTTCCGACATTCTAATTTTTGACCTTTTTTAACTGGACCAAATCACTACTTAACATAAAGATTCAGCACCCAAATTTTTTTAACATGTAATTTCATCCCCTTACTTAATATTTCATGCATAAATTTCAAGAAATAAATTGGGAAAGTGTATCAAAAAAAAATGCAAGTTATAAACTGTTCACACTAGGGACTATATTTGTAGACAACGAAAACCAAAGGACGATAACTGTGTCCTTGGACCATATAAGGGGAAAAAAATGATGGGAAAACAATCTGTGCAAACAAACAATTTTTACGAGTAAAGAAAAAATGCAAGTTATAAAAATTTTGTATATGACAGATAGTATAAATTAGAATTATAACATAAGGTAATATGGCTTATATCTCAACAAGAAACCAACTCAACAAAACAAAAATCAGAACAATTGTTCGTTTGATTTAGAAAAACTTAATAATTGCATACTTCAGACTGTAAAACAGGTGACCTATTTTTTCTGGTACAGTATCCATGACAACATGTGAGGTAAAAATTTCTGTTATGTCATTGTCATTCAACGCTGTGTCTGGTTCTTGAAGAAATCTGAATAGAAATTGTTTCATGTACTAAACATTTCGTCAATAAATAATTTTACATATATTCTGGTAATAACCTATATTACAAAAGGAATTTGGATTGGTTTTACAGGAGATTTTTTTAAAACACTAGAAACAAGAATATGTGTCCATAGGACACCATGCACAGCTGACGGTTTCACGTTTTAATGCTCGCTGAACCCCTCTTTGGCGTATATTTTTAAAATTCACATCATTAAATCACTTTAATCCAAAACTTTAACCTGATATGGGACTAAATGATGGACTAACGGATGCACAGACTTAAATAATACTGTTCCCTTTCAATCGTAGAAAGAACATTAAAATACATATCAGCAGAACAGCCTTTTCAAGTTGTTTTTCTTTTAAGCTGTTGCTGAAAATATGAAATAAAAATTTCACATCTTAGAGTAAGGTCAAGCCATTCCTGATGGAACTTTTAAAAAAATATTGTATTAAATTGTTTTAAATATCTCACTCCTATAATATTATACAATTATAGCCTTTGTACTAGGTAGATACAAGGATATATCAACCTCAAAGAAGTATATCGACTGAAGATGAAGTCATCGTCTGCATAGCCAATAAATATCACATAAAACTTAGTTTCTATTTTGTTGCCACTGTCCTATCAGAGAAGCTCCTTTAATATAAACTATGTTTCTGCTATAATTCCCTAAACTTAGAAGTCTTTATGCTTTCAATAAAATATTTTCAAGATCAATCACGAAATCAAAACAAAATGTATATTCAATAATGCCACCTTTGAAATGCCTTTATCCTGTCCAATGTCTGTCCTCTGGATTTCTTACAGCAAAATGGCACAGGTCTGAAATCTTCTGCAAATAATAACAAGAGGAAGAAAATAAAATAAACTACTGAATATGATATAAAATTTTAATGAAAATAAAAACTAAGAGGCTCTAAAGAGCCTGTGTTGCTCACCTTGGTCTATGTGCAAGTTCAAGGACACTCTCCAACATTGTAGACGAGAATAAAATTTGTCATTTAAGGGCAATTTCTTTAACATAAAATAGATGTTTCGTCAGAAACTATGATTTCTGTATTCTGAAAAGCCAAAATTATTTAATTATCTTTGTTGGGCATTTTGAACTGTATTATTTTCTCCCATGGGTCAATTTATATATTTTGAGAATAAGAACAATCATTACATTTGATCAACTGAAACAAACTTTCATTAATAATACCTTGTATTGTCTGTTCTTCCACCATGATACTATCTGGTATGACTTCTGTTTCCAGTAACCTCAGGGGAGATGACTGTAATTAATAAAAAGATCATGATACAAGTTATGTTCTTCTCGCATAATTTATGACGGCATGATATGAAACCCCTAACGGGAGGGATTGTAGTTGGTTTTCATATGATGAAGACATTATCTTTTATTCAGTTAAAATGAGGCCTGGAGCTGGCATGTCAGTAACTGCTAGTCCTTAATTTTTGTTGATTGTTGTCATTTTGCTACATTTCTTCTGCTATCTATTCTAGCAACGGACTCAAACTTCTATTAAACTTAGTTTTACTGTGCGTATTGCTGTGTGTTTGTCTATTCAACATTGGCTACAGGTATAGGATGGTTTAAATCTGACAAAATATGTTTGAACCCACAGAATTTTTGGGCATGTCCCAAGTCAGGAACCTCTAGCCTTTGTTAGTGTTGTATGGTTTTTATAATTTTGGTTCATTTGTATATGTATGTTTCAGAGTTTAGTGTGGCTCCCTTTCGCTGAACTAGCATACATTTTTGTTTAGAGGCCAGCTGAATCCCACTTCCGGTTGCAGAATTTTCACTGCTTTGATGACCCATTGGTGGCCTTAGGCTGTTTTCTGCTCTTTGGTAAGGTTATTGTCTCTATAACACATTCCCCGTTTCCACTTTCTATTCTTCATTATGCTGAATAAAAACTTTGTTATTAAACAGTCCTGACAGTAAAAGTTGTTAAAACTTCTATCTAAAGAATTAAAAATGTTAAATCAAAGAGCATGATTGCTCTGAGGGATACGATCGCCATTGTTTTCTTTGATATTAGTAGTATTCTCATAAATAATTCAACTGCACATGTATTCCTTATTTGATTCAATCTGCATATCGTTTTTAAATTTTAAAAAATAGCCAATCTCTGATACAAGTGTATATTTATACAATGAGAATGTAATTATTGAGTTTTAAATTTGCTCTACATTTGCTTGATGATTGGAAATTCAAACCCTCTCTTTTTAAAAATACCAGAACACACCCGCCACAACGCGTGATCTACACCTTATTGTCACTCTGGATATTAAGTATTCATATTTTCATTTGACAAAGTCATGCTGATTGTAAGGCGCACAGTTTTCTTTACTTTTAAAATCTTTTTGTTTGAACCTGTCCTGCTTTTCTTACTACAACTGGAAACTACTTGTAGATATATTTTTGGGTCAAAGTGTCAATCCCTGTATAATGACAAAGTCCAGGTGTGATTTTATCCCATATACACCGTTTGGTGGTGCACCAGCTGACAGTCGGAAAGTACAGATTATGGAACAGGTAACAGGTACTATTGGGATCGGTATTGGAATCGACCCAGGAACTTGTTAATTATTGGTTATTAATTAAGTGTAAAACAAAAGGGCCTGGAATGTCGTAATTTTCAATCAACACCATTGTCCTATATAAGTTAGATTTCGCGTGCAGTACGTCTATTGAGCATGCACAACAGCGTATAAGACAAAGATCGATAACGGTCTCCAAAATTTGGATATATTTTCTCAAAAATTGTCATTTTCTGCGGAAAAACAAGTGTTTCAAAGACAAATTTAGGAAGAACAAAACACTAGATTTATATGTGATATCACAAATATTTCCGACTTTGTATGGTTTCAGAGGATTTGGGGCTCAATGAAATCAGTCTCTTTAGTAGTATAGATTCCTTCTAAATGTTATCAATCCCACATACTAAGTGTCAAAAATATACATTTGTACAAGCACACGAAAGTCAATCGGTTCTTTCTATGGTTTAGGATTCATATGGCCCAAAATGTTAAAATCCTAGACGTCTTCCAAAATTGCACACATTTAAATGATGATCACGGGCAAGATTGTAAATTCTATCATGAATGAGAGCTTTTTGGAAAACGGTATCTCAATTTAACAAAAAAAATCTAATGGATTAAACTAAACCCTGTTTTTTATGTTCTTCCACTTTCAACTTTGTATTTGATTTGACTTTCTTACTGTTTTGATTCATGTGCCACTGATGAGTTTTATGTAGCATTTCTAGGGTACCAAATTATAAGTTCCATACAATTTTTGTACATGAGATTTTGCTACTCATGCTTCTGTAAGGGTAGTAATGTCCTTTACCGTCAGGCGTCAAACGGTCATTTTCAGCTACTGTTAGCGTCAAATTGGTTAAAACTTTACTGTGATTCCTCAAAATATCCTTATCGTGATTCGTCAGAGGTCTCCAAAAATTATCGTTACCGTCATTTTGTGGGGAAACATTAACGTGATTCTTCAAAATCAGTCGATTTTTTTATCGTCTTAAAGAAAGTGTACATTTTATCGTTATGCACCAAATATTACCGTTAACGTCATTTGGCAAGAATTTTTACCGTTATTCGTCATGAAGGTACCCCCATTACCACCCTTTTCTGTCAGTATGAAATAAACAACCTTTTTCTTCTGATGCATTTCTTGATTATGTCCACTGTTCATTACATTAAACATGTTTAAGGAAATTTTGTTGACTGAGATATAAATACTAGCTATTCATTGATGTCTTGTTAAAAAAAAGCAAGCTATTCATTGATGTCTAAATTACTTTCCCCCATTACAAATAACTGAGTACATTTTAATTTCTCAGTAAAATACTAAAAAAAATACATTAAAATTTGTTTTTCCTTCAAAATTTTGCCCTTTTGATCAAATTTACCCAATCCAGGTAGAACAATAAAATTCCATGAAATTTAGAAAAGTCAAATTAATGGAGTGATCGAAGTGATCGTAATATAATGACTGGATTATTCGGGATGCCTTGTATGACATTATGGCACTTACTGCAAACAAAACATTCTTGTTCAAAACCATTATGCTGTTCAACACCACTGTAAATTGACTTCAAAATTTCTACTACTTATATTGATTTCACCGTGAATCTTCTGAATATTTCATCTGCATTCCTTCGCTAATTCTTCTGTTCAAACACATGTGTACATTGAAAACACATTTCGTGCTCCATTGCACATGTTTACAAACAATTTTAAACTCCTTTTTTCGCGCCATATGTCAGGATATAGTGATCAAATGATGCAGCTTGTTTTTAATTTCCGGTTTGCAGGCGTTAATGGAGTGATCGAAGTGATCGTATATGACGACTGGATTATTCGGATTACGGAATTCCCACTCTGACGTGATTCTAAATATATAAATACTGCTGAATTCTGATGAAAAAGGGAGATACCAAAACATAGGGATTATGAGAAGAAATTTAACAGAATGTTGTTTAAATTCAATCTCTTTGTTTGTTTTTACTTTTTATAACAGGACAATCTTAAGAATCTGAGTTGTTCCTATTAATGTAAACACAAAACGGTTGACGTGAGAGTCTTGGAAGGCAATCAATGGTAAAAGTCTACAGATTGCCTGACGGCACTCGTATCCCAAAAAAAGGTTAGAAAGGTGGTCTATTTACATAGTTCATTAGTCCATTTTCATATTACAGACTTTGGTTTTGGATTTTATAATTTCTGTTAAAGTTATTTCCCCTAAGGTTGGACATCATTGTCCTTGTGCTATGTTTTTTCGGCAGTAAATCTTGTTATTAATACACTTGATTTCCCTTTTTCCATTTAAGAACTGTCTTAATACACTACTGTACATGAAATGAGGGCAACTACCAAAGTAGGAAGGGCTTATGTCATTCTAAATGCTGAAATGCTGGTCATAAGTGTAAAGTTTGAAGGTGATCTTGTTCAAGTTCAAACCTGAATAAAATGCTTCGCTGAGCGCAGCTGGATACGACCGCAGAGGTCCAACCCTGAACAGTTGGGGCAAAAATGGACACAATATTCGCGCTTGATACAGGTCTGAATTTGGATTGTAGTTAAATATTTGACACACAATAGGTTTCTGACACCGAAAAACTGTAGTCAAAGAACTTAGAATTGGTTATATGATTTGAATTTATATTCAATATTTTGCTTTTGTGCAATACACTATGCTGTTGTGAATTGAACCCCTCCCCAAAAAAAAAAATTTACCCCCCCTTTTTTTTGCTTTTGTGAAATACACTATGCTGTTGCGTATTGACCCCCTTTCTTTTTGCAAAAAAAAATAATATTTGAAAAAATTTTCTTTTTAATTTCTGAAATCTGAAATGAAAAAAAAATTGCCCCCCACAATTTCTTTCCCCCCCCCCCCCCCCCCCCCCCCCCCGCACCCTTTTCTAAGAAAAAAATTCTTTCCCTCAAGATATGGTCATAATCTCAATTCAAATTTCCAATGAAGTTTGCAACCATAATTACCAATTTAAATACATCATAAAAGTCTTAAAATAAAATGACATACATAATCATTGCTAAAATTAATATTCCTTTAATAGTAACTTCTAAGAATAAATTGACAGCTAATCACCTCAAGACAATACAAAATTTCTTTATACATAATTCAAAAGCAGTGTAAGGGAGGTAATCCAAACATACACAACATTGTACTTTAAATGTGTTTGGATTACCTCCCTTACACTGCTTTTAAATTGTCCATTTACCAGGAAACCTTGTTTTTCCCCCTTTTTTGCCCCTACTTCCTAAACAGTTTGAGCCATAACCCCCCAAAGTCAATCCTCACCATCCCTTTGTGGTATAATTTCAGAGAGATTCATACACCGTTCCAAAAGTTATTGCCTGGAAACTAGAAAAATGCTTATTTGGGCTCTTTTTTGGCCCCTAATTCCTAAACTGTTAGGACCATTACCTCCAAAATCAATCCCAACCTTCTTTCTGTGGTTATAAACCTTGTGTTTAAATTTCATAGATTTCTATTTACTTATACTAAAGTTATTGTCCAGAAACCATATGTCTTCGGAAAACGACGACGACGACGTGATACCAATAAAAACCATTTTTAGATTCACTTTACCAGTACTTGACAAAATCATCTGAAAATTTAACACCCAAAACGCATTGATTTTAAGCTTGCAGTGTTTTCCATTCGGCATTTAAGCCGGGTGTGCCGACCACCTTCTTTTGAAAGCCAACCACCTTTCCATTTTAGGAGGTGGTCAGCTTTTTTTTTCAAATTCCAGATTTATTTCGGTTCCGCACCGTAAAAATTTAAATACTAATCGTGCCTCGCATTTGTTTTCATTGACAAAAATGGCGGATCGTCAAATTTCAATGTTTTCTTTTTATTAATTGGGGGAAGAGAATTGCAGGTGAGTGACGATGGTGATAAGGAAAATTCTATGCCAAATAAGTCAACTAAAACGGATAGTTGTATTGAAATTGTTGAAATTGAAAAAAAAGTATCAAACAACGGAAAAGGCACGCAAGCGATCGCAAAGATGAACAGGTTGGGAACAATCCTTAAATGAGGGACTGTCTCTCTGGCAAGAGGTCATGTCAATACTGTTGAAGAAAAGAAAAGAGAAAAACTTAGATTTTTTAACTTAAAAGGGGGAAAATCGTTATATTTGGAACAACTTTTTTAAAAGAGGGTCCAATTTTTTTTAATGATAAAGCAGATATAAGTCCAGGAATATTACAAATTTCTTGGACGTGTTTTGACCATATAATACCAAATAGATGTATAGTTCTTTGGGAAAGTTTCTGTAAATAAAATAAATATAAGTTCATTTGTATCTCGTGAAATGTACCCCTCATAAAAGGGGTAGTCATTACAGTGAGAGTTTACCCCTCATTTGAGGGGTTGTTCCCAAGCTGATAAATATGAATAGGACTTTAAATGGCTAATCAGCACAGAAGGAGGATATTTCTGTTCTGTGTGCCAAAAATACAACACTAAAGCGAGGAACAGGACAGAAACTTGGATCGATAAGCAATGCATAAGCAGGAGAAGGGAGTCCTGCAAAAGCAATATCTGCTATCCAAGTTGCTAACAACAAATTTGTCAAAAAAAAGGCTAGCAGTGATAGCAAAGAACGGTTCAATTTTATTAAATGTGAATACAATACTAATCCTTCTTTTTTTGTCCCAAAAAACAGTAAAGTAAAACCTGGTTGGAAATGTTAAAACAAAAAAAAACCAACCGGTTGCAAGTGATTTTTTCAAAACACCCACCTTACCTTAGTGAAAAATGGAGAACACTGGCTTGATCATGTTGATTTTACTTCTTTAAATTGATCTCAATTTACCGCAGAATTATATATTCCAGAGTCAAAAGTCGGTAATATGAAAATAATCTATTGAATAAATGATATGAGGTTTTGGTGTAAACAACATTCATTTGATCAGTTTTCATCGGTAAAAAGTTAATCCTACTTTGGGGTGTTAATTTTGTTAAAAGTGAGTAATCCAGACTTGTCTAGTGATACACTATTATTTTACTCATTTAACACTTGTTTCTCATTATTTTTCAATCTTCATGATTTTTAAAATTAAGAAGTGATGACTGTTATAGAACCTTACTTTATTAAAAACCATAACAAAAATTGTAATCTGATACACCACGTTAGATGAAAAGGAAATACTTTTGTGAAGCAGAAAGTTATGCAAATAACAGAATACTGCAATTTAGTGTAATGCTAATGTATACAAAAATTCAAATTACTATCTTTAAAAGTGTAAGAGGATTCTGGGAAATAAAAATGTTGATTTTAGATTTTCAACCAACCACTTCCTGTACCAAGTGAGGACTATGAAAGTTAAATGCGAATTGTTCTATTAAGGTCTTTCCGCTAACATGTGAAAAAAAAATTAGGGTTGTAAGGTAGGTAAATAATTTAATTTTTCCAAAAGTTTTTGACTGGTTTAAACATGTTAAACAGTCTGACTTCAATATTGCTTTTTTTTCAAAAATGACAAAAAAATCTTTCCAGAAGGCACTGAAAGTTAGGATAGTTAGGGTTAGTGGAAAGACAGGTATTGTTTTAGGCCTAATCAACATGGTGAAGATTGTTTCATGGGATTTACCAAGATTAGTCAATGAATAAAGACATTTTGAATTTTTTAGAATATACTTCAAAGTTTAGTACATTTGTAAACTTCCTATACTTTAAAATGACCAGTTTGAAATCAAAATTCTTTTTACTTTTATTGTTATATGATCATACCTGACCATCATTCAAATTATCAAATTGTGTAGATGTGATAGGAAAGTCATCTAGATTCTGTTCCTGGCCAAATACATCTCCAATATCACTTAACTTTGATGGGGATGCAGTGTTTGATCGGTTCCCAGGTGCATAGTAATCTGTAAGAAAAGACATATACATGTACTACATTTTTTTATTATTATAGGTCTTAAACATTTCTTTCCTTTTTCACAGAACAACCAATCCTTATTTTGAGCTCTGATGCTAATGTTTTCAAGAGGATTTCTTTAGAAACTTTTTACCAACAAATCAGTATTTCATGTATTTGTAACCCCTGACGTGTTTCATCCAAATTAAATGCATTAAACTCATGTGTTAATCATCCTGATTTTGTTCATTGACAAGGCACAAGTTATACACTTCCAGTTAAAGTGATGTGTATAATTGCTGAACAAAACTCAGTGAAATCAATTTAAGTGTACCGGGCCGGGTGTGTAAACAAAAGAAAATCCAGGCCTACCAACCCTATAATTGTTATGAATGAAAAGCTAAACACATATTTTAGGGGACTTATTACAGTTTAAGTGTTAAAAATGTCATCATGATAGTATTATGACTCTTGTGGTGGGGGAAGTGTTACAGGATTGCTTCCCTTAATACATGTAGTAAATACTTAGTCAGCAGTAAGCGGTTGAACTAAGATAGTACTTTTTTAGCTCAGTCGGTTAATTTAGCGCTGCCTTGTAACATAGAGGTCCCGTGTTTCCGAGTCCCGTAGGAGACAAAGTGATTTTGTAAGAAGAATCATGCTCTCTGGTTACACAGGTTCATGTATCTCTTCACAAACCTTTAACAATGAGATTGTCAAAAAATGTACCTTCAGTCTGAGATGAGCAGGTTTCTGGTATGACATCAACCTCCATAGCGGCAATTATCGATGGAGAAACTGGAGGAGACCAGTCATCAAGCGAACTCATTATCAGCAACTCCTGAAAAAAAATGTTTACAAATTATTCTTTAATTATTAGATTAAATCAGCCCTAATACAGATAAATCAGCATGTGCAATTACTGATGACGTCCCCCTGTTGATATAAATACAGTAAGAATACAAATTTTGTTCATAGTTGGTTCGCGAGGGATCCATAGTTCGTATTTATGTAAATATTTTAATGGCGGACAAAGAAATATGAACGAATATACAATGTTTGATAAGCCATTTGGAAAGGAATATAACTTTCTTTTTTAAGTCCCTTTTATATCCTTTGCATCTCTTTTAATGTAATAGAGAGATGAAACATGAACTATAGGCAATTTTCATTACATTCAAATGAAGTAACAATTTTTTTGGCTAAAAATAGGAATGTTATGAAGTACGCTTTCATGTAACAAGTACCTGAAGTAAAAGAAAATACTTCTAAAAAGTTGTTTCTTTGAAATAACTTACGATCAATCTGTAAAGTCAATGCTTTCACCATGTTTCTAAAGAAATAAATTGTTTATGTCTTTATATTTCATTACTTTTGAAAGAAAATTCATGTTTCATCAACTTCGTCATGTTGGTAAAAATTGAAAATTGCTGAGGACGAAACGGTCAGAAAAGTAATTTCATCACCCAATTCACCAGACAGTGTAAGTCCTATATTAGTAGATATCCGCAAACATACAGATCCAAAACTAAGGAGTACTGTAAAACCAAAAAATTTTCAATGTTCCTTTCCATGAAAAATAATATTTATTAGATTTTTTTAATCTTATTGATTATCTATTGTTGAAAAATATAATGGATTAATTGAAAAATGTTGAATATTCAATGATTTTCAATAATAATCTGAACATCACTTATAAATCATTTTTCCATGATACAAAGTGTAAAGAAAATTCTAGTAATTTCTAAACTTTTATGTTTTTATGCAATTAAATTTCTTTTTCATCATTGCAAGTATAGTCATTACATATGATATACATAAATAAGAAGATGTGGTATGAGTGCTAATGAGACAACTCTCCATCCAAGTAACAATGTATAAAAAGTTTACAATTATAGGTCAAAGTACGGCCTTCAACACGGAGCCTTGGCTCACATCGAACAGTAAGCTATAAAGGGCCTCAAAATGACTAGTGTAAAACAATTCAAACAGGAAAACCAACAATCTAATCTATATAAATAAACAGCTATGCCATGAACGCATGATACGCCCGTCGCTTCTTCAAAGAATAAAGTTCAATAACTTCTCAATGTCATATCAGAAATTTATAAAAAAAAACTAAAGAGAGGTTATTTTAATAGATATAAACCAGTCACCAAAGTTTCATGAAAACTCCTCAAAGCACTTTAAAAAGATATTGTCCGAAAACTGGAAAATCACACCTTTTTTATGAATAAAATCCCATAACTTGGAGACGTAAAATCTAAAATTTATAAAAATCGAAAGGGAGCTTACAACAATATATATAAACAATTCATCAAAATTTCAGGAAAACTGCTCAAAGCATTTTTGAGTTATTGTCAACTGGAAAATCCCACCTTTTTAATGCATAAAACCCCATAACTCCATGAACTCGGAAACATAAAATCAAAAATTTATAAATTTTGAAAGGGAGCTCATGTCAATAGATATAAACAATTCACCAAAGTTTCTTGCAAATTGGTGAAAGTGTTTTTGACTTATTGTCTGAAAACTGGAAAATCCCCTTTTTTAATGAATAAAAACCCCATAACTCGGAAACATAAAATCTAAAATTTATAAAAATCGAAAGGGAGCTTACAACAATATATATAAACAATTCACCAAAATTTCGAGAAAACTGCTCAAAGCATTTTTGAGTTATTGTCAACTGGAAAATCCCACCTTTTTAATGCATAAAACCCCATAACTCCATGAACTCGGAAACATAAAATCAAAAATTTATAAATTTTGAAAGGGAGCTCATGTCAATAGATATAAACAATTCACCAAAGTTTCTTGCAAATTGGTGAAAGTGTTTTTGACTTATTGTCTGAAAACTGGAAAATCCCCTTTTTTAATGAATAAAAACCCCATAACTCGGAAACATAAAATCTAAAATTTATAAAAATCGAAAGGGAGCTCACGTCAATAGATATAAACAATTCACCAAAGTTTTATGCAAATTGGTTGAAGTGTTTTTGAGTTATTGTCCGACATGTTGAGGACGGACGGACAACGATATACCATAATACGTCCCGTAAACAGGCATATAAAAACGAGAAATGTGAAACACCTATGAACCACACCAACAAACAACAACCACTGAACAACATACTCCTGATTACGATGAAGGACAGATGCATAAAAATGCAATGGGTTTAATCATTTTAACAGGTGCAAACCTTCACCCCAATCTGAGACAGTAGTGTAACATTACAACATAAAAAGACGCATAACATGCATGACATGTTACAGCTTTTGTTACAATAAATACATAATTTTAATTCTTCCACATACTCCAGGAACACATTGAGCAATAAAATGATTTATTTATTTTATTGAACGGATTGATCTATTGATTGTTAAATTTGTACAATTTGTTGTTCAACCTACAAGTGTCCCATGTTCTCCATTTGAGAGTTTAAAGTCATATGAAACTTCAAATTCAAAAAAAAAGTTAAATATGTTTTATATATACATGTATCATCTTAAATTATCAAAATCTTCATAAATATAGTACTGCTATTGAATTATTGTTTTCCCATACACTAATTCGCCTATATTTTCCAGTATGCAGTAACCTGAACTACGATACCTCTTGTTAGAACTTCAGCCACTGCACAGCACAAGACTCTGAAGAGAAAACCGTGATGACAGAATGTAAAAAAACGTGCACTGAAAGATATATAGTAATAACTGATTCTTAAACAACAAATTTAATACAACAAATCATCATGATCATTTTAAAACTGTTAAGACAAAGTTTAATTAACAAACGGGATCAGATGGAAAATATAAAAGAAAATATCATGGCTCTACCAATTCACTTATTTGTCATGTGCTCCACATGCATACAGGACTTAGTTTGGTATATATATGCATTTATTTGGCAATGGCAGTCAGCAGGGTTTAAGAACATCCGTTGTTCAACCTGCTAGTCAAATGCGTTTTGTTTAAATATACTTTTTCACTTTTTTGGTCCTTTGGAAAATGTTGTTTGTGCTGTATTTAGACCACTCTACCAAGAAATTTGTTTTGCATGCACACGTATAAAAATTGCGGTTTTTATCCAACGCAATCATAGGTTTGAACGTTGTTTTCATTCTAGACTTGTTTATATTTTTTCGTTTGGGCTTGTATTATATTTGCCTTCGGGTTTATATGATCCGTTCATCCTATTTCGACTCTTCAAAATTCAAGAGTCTATCCTAAATTGAGGTAAATTATATGGCCTCCCAAATACCGTTTCGATTTCTAACATCACTGAAGAGACATTAATTGTCGAAATCCGGATATGGTGTACTAATTTTTGCACCTTTTGTTTGCGGTATACCATCTTTTCCGCACGTTTATTGTTTAATATTCTGTTTTGTATTAAATTAATAGTTAAGATCCATTTTGTTACATCTGGTGATCCGTTTATTTGGCAATTGCCAATGGCAGTCAGCAGGGTTTAAGAACATCCGTTGTTCGACCTGCTAGTCTGTGTTTTGTTTAAATATACTTTTTAACTTTTTTGGTCCTTTGGAAAATGTTGTTTGTGCTGTATTTAGACCCCTCTAACAAGAAATTTGTTTTGCATGCACACGTATAAAAATTGCAGTTTTTATCCAACGCAATCAAAGGTTTGAACGTTGTTTTCAATTTTGACTTGTTTATATTTTTTCCTTTGGGCTTGTATTATATTTGCCTTCAGGTTTATATGATCCCAGACCCAGCCAAAATTAAATTGTTTTAACAGGTCAGGAGGTCCAGTAACAAATATTTTTTACTGGACCTTCATTGCTGTTGCAGGACCTACTTATTATCACTGGTGAGCAGCGCAAAGCGCTGCGAACTTGCTAGGGGGTATAGGGGCATCCCCCCCCCCCCATAAATTTTTTGAAAAATTAGATGCAAAATTCTGCATTCTGAGTGCTTTGTCTATGATAAATGAAGTAACCAAAACTACTTTCATGTACTACACTTTTCTTTTGCATGTTTAATCACATTGAATAAAACTTCATTTTTAAGACTTTATCTTAAGTTATTCCTCTTTGGCATAATCTAGTATTTTATTTGAGTTCATGGATTCATCCTGTACTTTCATCATCGGCCTTCCGTTTTTTGACCAGGCACGGCCCCTTCACAGGGGTTTGTTACAATTTGCCGGGTTTACTATCCATACGAATCCCGAAAAAAAACCACTATCCATACGAACCCCGAAAAAACCATGTGGTTTTTCAGAGTTGGCGAAAACCGTCAGTCCTGTCGGTCCTGACCGCCAAAATGAGGCTCAGACCAGTATTTTGAAGGCAAGTGGCGGTCCCGATGACCGATGTAAAAACGGCCGTTGCAGTGCCTATGTCGGCACTTTTTTACATCGGTAATTAGATGTTCCCGCGACTATTTCCAGTACGTGTTATACATCGGTCATCAGATGTACCCGCGGCTAATTTCCGGTACTGGTTTCCAAATTTTATTATAAACAAACCAAAGCGGCGATCTACACGTGGCCTATTAATTTTTTTCATGGAGCCATCCCTGGCAAACAATCGGCGGTGGAACCCTCCGATGAAACCAACAATTACTGTCACTGACTCACAACCGAGAAAGTGATTCAGATGATGAAATGGATAGTGAAGATGACTTTGAATTAGAACAATCAGAAGACCAGAACTGGTCCTTCATTGTTAATTTGCCTGTGGCTGTGAAGAATAAAACTAAATACAGTTATTTTTCGATAAAATATGTTATCGATTTTATTTCAGGATAAAATTGACAGATTTTGTAGGACTGGCAAAAATTTTGTAGGACTGACAAATAATCTTGCTTTGTCAGTCCCATGACCGACGGGTCAAAAAAGGTTTTCGCGAACTCTGGTTTTTTCGGGGTTCGTATGGATAGTAAACCTGGCAAATTGTAACAAACCCCTGTGGCCCCATCATAAAAACGGAGGAAACTCATGTTATTGTTTACAACATGTGTTTCTGGCGCATGCGTAATGAACCGGGGAAAAAAGAAATGCCAGAAACTGACGCAGCGGACATGACAATCGAGATACAAATTCTTCAAAATATTAAAATTGAAAGGGTTTTAGCAGTAGGGGACAAGCCAGTGAGCCTTAAAATTGTCTTATAATATGTTTTTAAAAAAAAAAAAGAAGTCACATTAGAAATGCCGATTTTCAGGGAATGCATAAAATAGTTGACAAGAAAATCTCGCCGCGTGGCAATGGCAGCGTGATTTCATTGGCTGCTTTTTTATATTATTGCATTCTGATTGGATTACTATTTGTGTTGCCCGTATATCTCTATAAATATGACTAG